TGTCATCTGGTGATGGCATCTCTATTTTTTCCGAGATGTAGACCAGCCACTCCTTCTTCAAGCTCTCTGGCAGCTTACTCTCCAGGGATTTTGTAATGATCGGGTTCTTCAGTGCGCCCGTATTTCCCAACTCGTTTAGGTCCTGCAAAGCCTTTTCGACCACTTGTATCAAGTCCACAATCTTTTTAGGTTGGTGGCTCTTCACCGGTGGCAGCGCCTGCAGTTCCTCAACAATTTCCATGGCAATTGTTGTTTTGTTTCCAAAACGATTTTCGAGGACGCGGAAGATTTCATCTGCCGTTCCATATGTTGACAGTCGCAGGTCCTTTGCCACCTTGTCCTCAAGACTATCCAACAGTTGGAATTTCCTCACCTCCTTCGAACCGGAAGGTTCTCCTTGTTTTTGGAGTGCCTCCCAATCCTTTTTCCAGGAGTAGAAATTCCGCTTATTTCCATCAAAAATGGGGAGCGCTGTTGGTTTCAATCTGATGGTGGGTGGTCGGAGACAGGCGGCTTCCTCCACGAACCCCTCCCGCTCCATCTTTGCCTGGAGTCGAGCGGCCTTTCCCGACATCAGTTCAGGCACGCAGGCCTCCAGCTCCACTGTCCGCCTCTGCAAGTCCGATCTTTCCTCATCCGGGATCCAGCGGTTCCATTTGCGGAGTGCCTCCCTTGCCCTCTTCACGAGCCCTTCAACGTTCTTAAGCATGAGGTCATACACCTCCAGCTTCATCTCTAGCCGGGCTGTCCAAAGGCGCTCGCTTTCTTTTTCAGCTGCTTTCAACGCCTGAGGGAGCTCGGAACTGCCAAAATTGTTCCACAGGATTTTTTGAATCGCACCCTCGACTTCCTCTAGTCTTTGTTCACATTCGCCTCCCGTCCGCTCAATGTCCGCATCCAAATCCTTTGCGGAGCTGGTTTTTCCTTCCTCCTCCTCCTCCTCTTTTGCCTCAGCGTAAGCTGCTTCCAAATCTCCATTTGCTTGCATCACCTTGTCAGCCTCAGCCGTTATCTTTCCGAAAGCATCAAACAATTCCTCGTCCGACATTTTCTGACAGGACTTCAGAATTGAATTTGCAAGTCGGGCAAACCGCTGCTTGGCTGTTGTCCGCTCCCTTTTCAACTGCTTTACATCAGCCATTTTGGGTTTGGCCAAGGTGTTGGACTGCAAGGCTAGTGCTACGTGGGTCGAAGCGTTGGCGTTGGGCCGGAGCTTTTGGGTCGAAGCGTTGGTCCGGAGATTTTTGGGCCGAGGCGTTGGCGTTGGGTCGAAGCGTTGCCGTTGGTCCGGAACTTTTTGGCCGAGGCGTTGGTTGGTCCAAGATTTTTGGGCCGAGACGTTGGGGACGTTGGTGTTGGTCCGGAGATTTTTGGGCCGAGACGTTGGCGTTGGTCCGGAACTTTTTGCAACCAGCTTGACGCGGTTTTCACTGTCAAGTCAATCTGTGATTAGACAGTCCCCTGACTTGATAGGGAAAGGGCTCACTACTGGGTATTAAACGACTTCACTCAAGTTTCTTTGGAATTTCTTCTTCCTTTTATTTTTACTTTCATCAGGTGAAAACCTTCAAACAGTGCACACAAAAGAAACCCAGTATAAGGACTAGGTACTCTAAACAACAACTTCACAGATAAAAAAAATGTCCAACTAGGTTAGCGTTTATAAACTTTAGCAAAAATATCACAACTATACAACCATTTACATTTTTAAATATATTTACCATTCTTGAATAAACCGCATTTGATCTCTATTAGTTACTCTCAAAATCATGATACATTAACAATTTTATTCTTGATAGTTTGAGTTGATAGGTACAAACAAAGTGAAATTACAAAAGTTGAGAAATACAAAACTTGAGGGGCTCTTTGAAGTAGCAAAGATAGATTAACATGAGTACTTTCAGTTGGAACACATAGATAGCACAAACACTTGGATTAAGTGTAAAAAGCTTTGTCTAAACAATATATTATAAAATACCATTCAACTGTCATAGACATCTTTTTGGAATTAAATATTTGTAGTACAGTCCAATTGCTGTATTGAAGCAGACGTCCAAGTTGTGTTAAAATGGTTAAAGAAAAGTGACATGAGACGCACTGAGATGTTTCTTATGCTCACAAGCCCTCAACACACCCCCTAATTTCCCCATCTTGGAGTTTGGACTAAAGTGCAAAAAGAAGCCCCATTTTAACTATGACTGTACAATGGTATTTTATAACTAAAAGCCACTCCCTGATTGCGACTTCAGTTGCTAGAAAAATAGTTTAAAATACTTTTCCCATTTATGTTAAACCTAACAAATATACAGAATTAAACTGGTCAATGAAAGTCTCTGATGTTCACATTTCCCCTGTGAGACGAAACCCTAAACACCCCAGCGTCTCAGCACATGACGAGCACATCGCTATCAACACACAAACGTTGCCTCTTACCGGCAGTCCCCCAGTAGTTGTGTTGCGAGTCCCCGTTCTGTCCAACTCTTTTTCTCACACGATCTCCTGCGTAACTCAGATGCCTCTCTCCTCATCGGTTTGTTTTGGTCTCTCCTTGAGCGGAAGTGCGTTGCTTAAACCAGTCCGGCCGCGCGCCGCTAATTAAGTGATTGGTTCCGCTCCTTGTGAGCCGCCAGACTGACGCCCGCCGCAACACTCTCTCTCTGGTCTCTCTCTGGTCTCTCTCTGGTCTCTCTCAGGTCTCTCTCATTGGTCTCTCTCTGGTCTCTCTCTGGTCTCTCTCTCTGGTCTCTCTCTGGTCTCTCTCTCTGGTCTCTCTCTGGTCTCTCTCTGGTCTCTCTCTCTGGTCTCACTCTCTGGTCTCTCTCTCTGGTCTCTCTCTGGTCTCTCTCTGGTCTCTCTCTGGTCTCTCTCTGGTCTCTCTCTCTGGTCTCTCTCTGGTCTCTCTCTCTGGTCTCTCTCTGGTCTCTCTCTCTGGTCTCTCTCTGGTCTCTCTCTGGTCTCTCTCTGGTCTCTCTCTGGTCTCTCTCTGGTCTCTCTCTCTGGTCTCTCTCTGGTCTCTCTCTGGTCTCTCTGGTCTCTCTCTGGTCTCTCTCTGGTCTCTCTCTGGTCTCTCTCTGGTCTCTCTCTGGTCTCTCTCTCTGGTCTCTCTCTGGTCTCTCTCTGGTCTCTCTCTGGTCTCTCTCTGGTCTCTCTCTGGTCTCTCTCTGGTCTCTCTCTGGTCTCTCTCTGGTCTCTCTCTCTGGTCTCTCTCTCTGGTCTCTCTCTGGTCTCTCTCTCTGGTCTCTCTCTCTGGTCTCTCTCTGGTCTCTCTCTCTGGTCTCTCTCTGGTCTCTCTCTCTGGTCTCTCTCTGGTCTCTCTCTGGTCTCTCTCTGGTCTCTCTCTGGTCTCTCTCTGGTCTCTCTCTGGTCTCTCTCTGGTCTCTCTCTGGTCTCTCTCTGGTCTCTCTTGGTCTCTCTCTGGTCTCTCTCTGGTCTCTCTCTCTGGTCTCTCTCTGGTCTCTCTCTGGTCTCTCTCTCTGGTCTCTCTCTGGTCTCTCTCTGGTCTCTCTCTGGTCTTAAAGGAACAATAATGAAGTCTTTCTGGTCGTCCTGTCGAACCATCAATCAATCTACTTTTATTTGTATAGTGCCTTTCCTACACACGGCAACACAAAGCACCGCACAACACACATCAGGCACACATCATAGTCAGATCTACAGAACATTAAACACTTACAATCCCAAAGGGCATTAAACACACAATGGGATCACAAGAACATTTAAAACATCAAAATAAAATCACACAAGTTTTTAAAATCATTAAAATCACAGGTTATTAAGAACATTAAAGTTATTAAAAACATTAAAACATTAAAATCATAAATGTAGCCAAAGTGCACCTAAAATAAGGTTTCTTTTCAAAGTTTTAATTTCCTGGCTCTAGTCAGGACTAATGTGGTCATACTTCCTGGTTTTAATCTGGACTAATGTGGTCGTACTTCCTGGTTTTAATCAGGACTAATGTGGTCATACTTCCTGGTTTTAATCAGGACTAATGTGGTCATACTTCCTGGTTTTAATCTGGACTAATGTGGTCATACTTCCTGGTTCTAGTCAGGACTAATTTGGTCACACTTCCTGGTTCTAGTCAGGACTAATGTGGTCGTACTTCCTGGTTTTAATCAGGACTAATGTGGTCATACTTCCTGGTTTTAATCAGGACTAATGTGGTCATACTTCCTGGTTTTAATCAGGACTAATGTGGTCATACTTCCTGGTTTTAATCTGGACTAATGTGGTCATACTTCCTGGTTCTAGTCAGGACTAATTTGGTCACACTTCCTGGTTCTAGTCAGGACTAATGTGGTCATACTTCCTGGTTTTAATCTGGACTAATATGGTCATACTTCCTGGTTCTAGTCAGGACTAATTTGGTCACACTTCCTGGTTCTAGTCAGGACTAATGTGGTCATACTTCCTGGTTTTAATCTGGACTAATATGGTCATACTTCCTGGTTCTAGTCAGGACTAATATGGTCATACTTCCTGGTTCTAGTCAGGACTAATATGGTCATACTTCCTGGTTCTAGTCAGGACTAATATGGTCATACTTCCTGTGAGCAGCCATTGCAGAAGTGAAGCTAAATGTTCATCTTTAAATAAGAATAAAGTTTTTCCAACAATGATCCGTGGCAAAGAGCCCCATGTCCTCGATCCTATGTCCATCTGAATCCAGTCGTTTTGTTTCCTCTGGAGAATGAAAGAGAAAGATCGCTCTCCAACTAAAGCTCGAGCGAATCAATGAAAAAACTACTAGAACTGTGATGATGTTTTAAGCAGAGAAAGGTCCAAAAGTGGAATATGGGACCTTTAAGGCTTATGGGGAATATGTTATAAGTGCCACAAGTTCCTGATTGAAGCTAAAGGTGACGGACCATAAACAGGGACCATCGACAGAGTGTGACATCACCATCGACACCATCAATGTACAGATATATTGATATTTACTTTCTGCTTTTATGAAGACATTACAGCGAGTTAAGAAGAAGTATTGTATTGTCCAGCAGGGGGCGCTCTCCTCAGATCCACCACAGACACAGAGGAACCTTCAGACCTCAGTCCAGCAGGGGGCGCTCTCCTCAGATCCACCACAGACACAGAGGAACCTTCAGGCCTCAGTCCAGCAGGGGGCGCTCTCCTCAGATCCACCACAGACACAGAGGAACCTTAAGACCTCAGTCCAGCAGGGGGCGCTCTCCTCAGATCCACCACAGACACAGAGGAACCTTCAGACTCCAGTCCAAACCCAGGAAACACAGGCTCAGAGAAGGAGGAGGTGAAGGTGTGGAGGTGGAACAGTTCTCCATCAGAGACGACCTCATAGAAGGACAGAGATCCAGCCTCAGAGTCCAGGAACACAGACACTCGACCTGAGGAGGGGTAGAAGGAGGGGCAGTAGGGGGAGGAGGAGAGGGAGGAGAAGTAGGAGAAGGCTGTTTGTCTGTTGTTGTGATATAAACAGTAATATCCCCTACAGACCGTCAGACTCCAGGACTGATCATTGGTTCCAAACCCACTCTCTCTCGTCCCTCTGCGTCTGATTCCTCTGTGACTCACTGCGATCTCAATGACCCCCCCCCACCTCCTCCTCCTGGTCCAGTCCACCTCCCAGTAACAGCGCCCCCTCAGGCCAGTGCTGCTCAGGACCTGTGGCTGGTCTGTAAATCTGTCCTGATGCCCTGGACACTGCTGCTCCTCTGTCCCTCTGGTCACTGTCCGTTTGTCCTCAGACAGTTTGAGGATTCTGTGAGCCGAGTTTGGATCCAGAGAAAACTCACAGGAATCTGAGGAAAAACACAAAACAAGAAGAAACATCAGCTCCAGACGCTTTAACCACAGAGTAAAGATAACTTTATATAAATAACTTTATATAAATAACTTTATATAAATAACTTTATATAAATAACTTTATATAAATAACTTTATATAAATAACTTTTATATAAATAACTTTATATAAATAACTTTTATATAAATAACTTTATATAAATAACTTTTATATAAATAACTTTATATAAATAACTTTATATAAATAACTTTATATAAATAACTTTTATATAAATAACTTTATATAAATAACTTTATATAAATAACTTTATATAAATAACTTTATATAAATAACTTTATATAAATAACTTTTATATAAATAACTTTATATAAATAACTTTATATAAATAACTTTATATAAATAACTTTATATAAATAACTTTTATATAAATAACTTTATATAAATAACTTTATATAAATAACTTTATATAAATAACTTTATATAAATAACTTTATATAAATAACTTTATATAAATAACTTTATATAAATAACTTTATATAAATAACTTTATATAAATAACTTTATATAAATAACTTTATATAAATAACTTTTATATAAATAACTTTATATAAATAACTTTATATAAATAACTTTATATAAATAACTTTATATAAATAACTTTATATAAATAACTTTATATAAATAACTTTATATAAATAACTTTATATAAATAACTTTATATAAATAACTTTATATATATATATAACTTTATATAAATAACTTTATATAAATAACTTTTATATAAATAACTTTTATATAAATAACTTTATATAAATAACTTTATATAAATAACTTTATATAAATAACTTTATATAAATAACTTTATATAAATAACTTTATATAAATACTTTATATAAATAACTTATATATAAATAACTTTATATAAATATAAAACTTTATATAAATAACTTTATATAAATAACTTTATATAAATAACTTTATATAAATAACTTTATATAAATAACTTTATATAAATAACTTTATATATAAATAACTTTATATAAATAACTTTATATAAATAACTTTATATAAATAACTTTATATAAATAACTTTATATAAATAACTTTATATAAATAACTTTATATAAGATATACTAACTTTATAAATAACTTTATATAAATAACTTTATATAAATAACTTTATATAAATAACTTTATATAAATAACTTTATATAAATAACTTTATATAAATAACTTTATATAAATAACTTTATATAAATAACTTTATATAAATAACTTTATATAAATAAAATAACTTTATATAAATAACTTTATATAAATAACTTTATATAAATAACTTTATATAAATAACTTTATATAAATAACTTTATATAAATAACTTTATATAAATAACCCTAACGTGGGACTCCACAGGTCAGGGCCATATGATCTGAGACACAGTTTCCAATCTCCACAAAGTACTTCCTGTCCTCAAGGTAAGACCTAAACCAACTTAGGGCGGTGCCAGCGACGCCAACCCAGTCCTCTAGTCTCTGTAAGAGGATCTCATGGTCGACGGTGTCAAAGGCAGCACTCAGATCTAACAGGATTAGGATTGAGACTTTGCCTGCGTCAGTGTTTAGCCGGATATCGTTTGTAACCTTGACGAGAGCAGTCTCAGTGCTGTGGTGGGGTCTAAAGCCGGACTGAAACATATCAAATGAGTTGTTGATTATAAGAAATCTAGTAAGCTGTAGGTAGACAACTTTTTCAAGGACTTTCCCCATAAATGGCAGATTTGAGATGGGACGATAGTTGTTAAGTACCGTAGCATCCAGACTACTGCTCTTTTTTAGCAGGGGCCTGATGACTGCAGTTTTCAGGGCCTTTGGGAATATTCCAGAATCAAGGGACATGTTTACTATCTGTGTGAGTGAAGGTAACAGACTGCTCAGAACGGACTTCAGAAATCTAGTGGGTACATCCAGGCTGCATGTGGAGGAGCTCAGACTGGAAATTATCTCTTGGACAGTTTTATCATTTACAGGTGCAAAGTAAGTTAGCTTAAAGAGCCTTTCTGGCTGTTGGATTGTTATCTGTGGATTGGAGACAATGGCGTTTTTGATGCCTTGAACCTTGTCATTGAAAAAATGTGCAAACTCATTACATTTACGTTTGGAAGTTGGCTCTAATGGCATTTGAACAGGGGGGTTTGTTAATCTATTAACTGTTGAAAACAGAACACGCAGATTGTTGCTGCAGCCTTCAATTATTTCAGAAAAATACCTTTCTCTCGTACTACGTAGCACCTGGTTAAACTCGCACAACTTATCTTTGAAGATCTTGTAATCAACCTGGAGGTTGGACTTGCGCCACTTCCGCTCGGCCCTCCGGCACTCTCTCTTTTGTGCCCTGACCGAGTCTGCTTTAGCCCACGGCGCCTTCTGCTTATTTTTCACTATTTTAACCTTCACAGGAGCGATGGTGTCCAGAACATTCAAAACACTAGAGGTGACAGAGTTAAACAGTTCATCTACAGTAGAATACGATGCATTCTCAAAGTTTATCATTCCCATAAATAGTTCACCCGTATTTTCATTTATGTGTCTTCTTCGTACAGTTGCAGAGTCCACTGGTGGTTTGTTAGTGAAACACATGTCAAAAAATATACAAAAATGATCCGAAAGCGCAACATCGACCACGTTTACATTATAAATGTTCGCCCCCTTTGTAACTAACAGGTCTAGAGTGTGCCCTCTGCTGTGGGTGGGGCCACTCACATGCTGAGTGAGACCAAAAGATTCAAGAACAGAACTCAGCTCTTTAGCATTTCTGTCATCAACATTATCCACATGAATATTAAAATCACCTGTAATAACTAAACTATCAAAATCTGTGCATACAACTGAAAGCAACTCTGTAAAATTATCAATAAAACTGTGACATGACTGCGGTGGCTTGTATAGGACAACGAAAAGTATTGGAGGAGATTGTTTTTGTTGTATTTTAAAAGACACATATTCAAAAGACGGAAACTTCCCAAGAGACATTCTATGGGAGACAAAGTGCTCTCTGAAAATGGCAGCTAAGCCTCCTCCTTTTTTGTTTTCCCGTATTTCAGATTCAAATTTGAAATTTGGTGGTGATGCTTCTATTAAAACTGCATTTTCTGTATTTTGGTCAAGCCATGTTTCAGCCATGAACATAAGATCTAGATTATAAGAACAAATAAAATTATTGATTAAAAAAGACTTGTTACAAAGAGATCTGACATTTAGCATAGCAAGTTTAAAAGTTTCAGGATCAGCGGTTGTGGTTGGCTGATTCTTACACGGAACAAGAATTAGATTTTCCTGATTAGACTGATTAACTCCAGATGTCTTTTTGTAATGTATTCTTTGTGTTATCACTAAGGGAATGGCACAGGTGGCTTCAAGACAGGGCCCCAGCCGGGTCTCTCCTCTAACTAGACTGCCAGTGGCTGCGAAGCAGAGACCCTGTGCATCCTAGTGTTTAGAGAAAAGAGGGGAAGGGGAAGGCGGGGGAAGAGGATTAATTAAGTTCTACGAATAGGTGCGTAGTCCCTTAGGACTTCGCTAGTGGGATATCACTCGTGACCCCCAGGCCACACGCCAGAGAGATCAAAATAATTTGCTCCAATCACCAGCCACCCTCCTCTATAAAGGCCCCTGCACAAGGCCGCACCCCCTCTTGAACTCTGCCAAGCCGGGTTGGCCTGATGGGCTCGTAGCTAAGGGACTACGCACCTATTCGTAGAACTTAAGTTATCATCCATCCATCCATCCATCCATCCATTTTCTACCCTTTAGTCCATTTCTGGGTCAGGGGGGTGGCAATCAGAGATGCCACCCAAGTCTCATAGCACCAGCCCCTCACTGACCCTCTGCAGGTGGTGAGTCCACAGGAGGACGGCTGCTCTCTGAGTGTGAGCATAGCCTTGATCTTTCAGTGGGGGCTTTGGGCAAAGTGGGGTTAAGTGTCTTGCCCAAGGACACAACGACAGCAGTCATCAGTGGGAGTCGATGGAGAAGGTGCAGAGGTGGGAATTGAACCCACGACCTTCTGGGCTTAAGGCCAATGCTCTACCAACTGAGCTACTGTCGCCCTTTTGTAACTTAAGTTACATTAGGTAACTATTAATTCTACGTCATGGTGCTACGTCCCTTAGGACTTCGCTAGTGGGACACAACGCGGAGGCCGTAGGAACATGTACTCCCAGCAGGCCAGCGAAGGGTGATTGGAGTTCCGCCCGAGCAAGACCCTCACACAGTGAGAGGACTCAGGGCAGAAGAAGCAAATGCGTGTTACCGGGCCACTCCTACCAAGGATACCCCCACGTAACACAGACCGTAGGTCACCCGTAGTCCCAGGACGCCTCTCCCAAGAGCTCCTGACGTGGACTACCGACCGACCAAAACACACATATAAGTACCGCACCTGTAGGACGCCTCTCCCAAGAGCTCCTGAACCAGGGCGGAAAGTCAACCGAAGGCCCCTTCAGAGGAGGGACCTAACGGTCTAACTCAGTCCGCTGCACTCAGCACGGAATGGGCCACCGACCGGTCCGACACATCCAAAAGATAAGACCGGACGAAAGAAGAGAACGACGCCCAAGAAGCCGCACGGCAGACGTCCTCGACCGACGCCCCCCTGAGAAGGGCCGTAGAGGCCGCCATCCCACGCGTGGAATGCGACCTGAAGCCCACCGGGGGGGCCAAACCCTGCGTCTGATACGCCCGCCGCACCGCCGTGGCGACCCAGTGCGCCAGCCGCTGAGCCGACAGCGGGGCGCCCCTGTTCTTGGGGCCCAGACACACAAACAGCTGACCACCCAACCTGAATGACGAAGTCATGGCCAGGTAATGCCTCAGCATTCTGACAGGACACAGAAGGTGCTGCCGCTCCTCCTCGGGGGAGGCATGCGGTGGCGGATAGAAAGCCCTAATCGGGATGACTCTCGACCTAAAGGCCGACGTGATGACCTTGGGGAGAAAGGCCGGATTGGGCCACAATTCCACCATGCCGTCGCCCTCTCCAAAGGACAGGCAAGACGCATGGACAGAGAGCGCACACAAGTCACCCGCCCTCTTAGCAGACGCCAACGCCAGCAAGAGGGCCGTCTTAAAAGCGACACACTCGGGACTCGCCTCCGCCGCCGGTTCAAAAGGCGGACCCGACAGCCCCCTAAGGACCACCCTCAGGTCCCAAACCGGGGGCGTTCTCTGAAGCGAGGGCCTCCTCCTGCGCGTCCCCCGCAGAAAACGTTTAACCAACGGATGAGAGCGGGCTGTGAACCCCCCGAATCCGTCGTGACCCAAGGTAATGGCTGCCGCGAACACCGCCAAGGTGGCGACAGCCCTCCCTTTGTCAAAAAGCTCCTGTAGGAATCCCAAGACCCCCTCCAGCGGGCAACGCCTGGGATCCCAGGAACGAGAACCGCACCAGTCGCTGAAGAGCCTCCACCTCGTGGCGGAGGCCCTCACAGTGGACGGCGCCCTCGCCCCCTGAATGGTCTCCCCCACCGCAGGGGGAAGACCCAGGTCTACGAGGTTCCGCCTCTCAGCCTCCAAACCCAGAGCCTGCGGCCAATTATCGGGCGTGAAAACAGGGCTCCCCCCCCCCCTGGACTAGAGCCCCCGGCTCGTCCGGGAGGGCCCAGGGCTCCATCACCGCCTTGCCCCTCAGGAAGGGGAACCACCGGGCATGCGGACTGTCCGGAGCCACCAGGATCACCGACCTCCTCTCCTGTTCGATCCTCCGCAGCAGGACCGGCAGGAGACGCACTGGTGGGAAAGCGTACAGCAGGCCCTCTGGCCAGGGGTAATGAGCCAGAGCGTCCACGCCTAGGGGCGGCTCGTCCGCGGCCCTTAAGGCAAACCAGGACAGGCACTGTGCGTTTTCTGCACTGGCGAAAAGGTCAACCACTGGACGGCCGAACCTCCGTCAGAGCTACCCGTGGGGCCAGGCCCCACTCGTCCTGGAGTGGGTCCCCCCTGGACATCCTGTCGGCCCCCACGTTCCGGACCCCCGGACGTGGCGCGCCCTGAGAGACAGGAGGTGAATCGCCGCCCACAGCAGCGTCACCGTCGCCATGCGATGGAGAGCGGGGGACCTGGTGCCCCCCTGCCTGTTCAGATAGGAGACCACTGTGGTGTTGTCTGAGCGCACCATCACGTGTCTCCCCTGCAGCTGAGGAGCAAAGTGCAGCAGTACCCTGTGCACTGCCTCCATCTCCAGCGGGTTGAGTCCGACCAGCAGCCTCCTACAGAGCTCTGGCCGAGGACCCCGCCCCATCCTTCGAGTGACGCGTCCGTGAACACCTCCACGTGAGACACGGCGCAGGCCAGAGTCACTCCGTCCCGTAATAGACCCGGAGTGAGCCAGAACCTGATGTCCGATGCTGCCACTTGGGGAACCCAGATCAGCCTCCCCCCGTCCCGGGAGGGGTGAAGCCTGAGGCGTGAGAACCACCTCTGAGAATTCCTCATGTGGAGAAGGCCTAGCCGCAACACAGCATGAGCCGCCGCCATCATTCCCAGCAGGGACCTGAGGCGCCGAGCGGGGACTCTGGGGCCCGCCAGAACCTCCCTGGCCAGACGGGTAATGTTCATCCATCTGTCCACGGACAATGCAGCACGGAATGTCACAGAGTCTAGCTGCAGGCCGAGATAAATCATGCGCTGAGCGGGCTGCAGCTTGCTTTTCTCCCTGTTTACCACAAAGCCCAGACGCTGTATGTGGGACAGGACCCAGTGCGTATGACTCACGGCCACTTCTCTGGATGAGGCCAGTATTAACCAATCGTCTATGTAGGTTAAAATTCTTACCCCTGCACGTCTGAGCGGCTCCAGTGCTGCCTCCACGCACTTGGAAAAAGTGCGAGGCGCGAGTGCGTAGCCGAAGGGGAGACGGCAGTACTCGTAATTCCTCTCTCCCACTGCGAAGCGCAGAAACCTCCTGTGTTCCGGCACTATCGGCACGTGGAAGTAAGCGTCTGTCAGGTCTATGGAGGACATCCAATCTCCCTGCCTGACACACTCGAGGAGCTGCTTTGTGGACAGCATCCAAAACTGCCGTTTGGAAATGCACTCGTTCAAGACGCGCAGATCCAAAATGGGACGCACCCCGCCTGACTTCTTTGGCACTAAGAAGTAAGGGGAGTACAGCCCCCTGGTGGCCTCCTGCGGGTCTACCTCCACTGCTGCGCCTCGACTCAGCAGAGAGGAGACCTCCGCTTGTAGTGCCTCTAATGATCCCCGTACCTGAGAGCGTACTGCCCGTACGCCTCGGGATGGTGGTGGCTTTCGGGAGAATTGCAGTGCGTAACCCCTGCGCAATGTTTTCTCCAGCCATAGATCTGTCAGCAAACCTTGCTCCCTCCAGATGCTGTAGAAGTCTGTGAGGGGCGGAACGGGAGCTGGAACACGAGACGTCACGGCCCCGCCCTCTCCTGGTGTTCCTAGCAGGGAGGGGGGGTGGACGCATAGACGTCGGAACTAGGGGTGCGGGGGGTGCGGCCGCACCCCCTCCGCGTGTGCCGGGAGCGAGAAGTTATCACTATCCTGCGTTCCTTGCAGCCCAAAACCCGCTCCATGCTGTCGGAGAAGCTTATGAAGCTCTGTCTGGCTAATATCTGTCGCAGCCTCTGAGCGCTCTTTCTCAGCCTTGCGCAGATTAGAGACCTGGCTACACCAGTGACGTGCGGTGGGGGAACAATCATGTGTTCATATGATTATACATCATATAAACCAACAGGACCTACAGGAACAGGAGCGGCTTATACACAATTTGTTTGGCTACAGCAGAATATGATTTAATGTCTGCATAGTTTTCTCATACAAAACGCAAACGTTTGTAAAAAGTACAAAGTGTGTTATGGGCCTTAGGTATTAATGAACAGCACAGACCACTTCAGTTAGGACCAGTTTCATGTTTAAGTCCAGATAATAGTTTGAGCACAGACATGTAATCCTCCATTTGGAAATAAGTTCAATGAGTTTTAAAAAGTAAAACAAACGGGTGTCTCTCCGTAAACTCCTCGAGTTTTGCTGCAGCCGACTCCCGGGTAAATCCAATTTCTAAATTCAACCTTACCTCCTTTTCTTATGATTCATATCATCATTGGAGGCAAAACATTACTCGAAGTGCATTTTAAATTATCTTAAAATGTATTATAGGTATGTTAGCCAAACCTGTAGCTGCCCTTAGCAGAAGAAGAACAAGAAAGGAGCTTTCTGATGGAATTGGATGCAGCCAAAGTTTGGGGTCACAAGCGCCCCCTTGAGGCTTTCCTCACTTACAAGCTGTGGTTGAGCGCGATTAAGACCCATATTTGCATCAAAAACACAATTTATGAGCCATCCTCTTAAATGTAAACATGTTGATTGTAAATTAAATATTTTTGAACTTTTTAAACTGTGATAAACAGAGAAAACAGTTTGATAGCACCTCACAGGACTCTCCCTGTGAGCTGTTGCTTTTACGTCTCCCAAGAGAGGCTCGCCTCACAGCACCGCTCTGTCAAATCTGCGATTTCAAGGTATAAATAAATGAAATAAGGCACAGCACAAATCACTTGATAAAGTGACCAAACATTATTGTATCCATTATATTACTTTTCTTTCTATGATCTTAGGTGAGGGCCTTGCCTGCCTCATCTGACCGCACGTCACTGGGCTACACAACACAATGAAGCCACCGGAGAGACTGACGCATGAATGTGTATTGAAAAAAACAAAGTTCAGTTTGATAAGTGACTTGCTTGATATATATTGTTTATTTTTTTGTTTTTCTTAACAATTAAGATGGTATGTTATTATCCAGTGTAATCCAAGTATGAGTCTCTCCCTCGACTCTCCCAACAAAAACCCGCCCCCCCTCTCAGAAAATAGTTCCGACGTCCATGGGTGGACGAAAGGGCCGGGGGGCCCCCTGCGTCACACCGTGAGCGCCGGCGGTCACGTGTCCTGCAGGCCCGACGTCATAAGTACGGGACTGCTCATCCCACGTGACTCGGCTGCTGTGCCCCCCCCCTGGCTCTTGCCTCATGGAGGGGGGGGCGAGCCCCTGGAGTGGGAGACCCCGTGTTAGCCTTGTAGCTCAGAGATGCTAACACGCGTTCGGCCGAAGCACACACACCACTACTCACCAGATCCCTCCGCCTGACCTCTCTCTGGGAGGGCATAGCATGAACCAGAGAACCGGAGCTCGTAGCTCGCGTAGCGCACTGCAAACCCTGCTCTGGGGGCTGCAGGCCTAGCGAAGCAACGTTATGTGCTCGAGACGTAACACAATCAGAATTCACAAGATTATTTGACATGTTACATACCCCCAAATGAGACTCAGACAGCGAGTACTGATGAAATGCCGGTCGGCCTTTATTGAAAGAATTCTTCCCACCCCGACCTCCTCTGCCATAGGGAGGTCGGCGGTGGGTGCGTTGGTCCCGCGAGCCTCCCGTGGGCCTGTCTGGACCCGGGGGCCTCGTCGAGGGGGACGATAGGCCACAGAGCGTGGATATGGGCAAGGGCGCCTCCCGGGCGAACGCTCCCTGCTTCTGTCCCGGCTCCGTGCTGGTGGAAGAACCTCGCGCCTCGGCGCTAGGTGCTGGGCTAGGCTAGCCGAGTCCTTGGCTGCGGTCTCCAGTCTAGCCACCAGGGTCTGCATGTCCGGACCGAAGAGGGACGTCTGGGAAACAGGCAGGTCCAGCAGCTGCCTCTTTTCGCCTCCCTGATGTTAGCTAGCCCAAGCCAAAGGTGCCTGGCCCCGACTTGAGCTGCTGCCATGGAGCGGCCGCCATCGACAGCTAGCGCCTGGCACATGCGCAGGATCGCCGCTGAGGTGGTCCTCGCCTGAGATAAGGTGTCTCCACTGAGCGCCTGGCCAGAAGAGAGCAACCTATCCAGGGCCCCCGTGATGAAGGCCATGTTATTCGCCACAGCGACGACCTGTGCCGCATTGGCGTAACATCTGTCCAGCATAGCCAAAGACGTCCTGTCCCGCTCGGAGGGAAGGAGAGGTCTGGTGCCGGGCCACACGGATGCGGAGGGGTGCAGGGCCATGCGGACCGAATCCTCGATGTCCGGGACCCCGCCGGTCCAGGACCAGTCCTGCACGCTGCAATACATGCCGTACCCCAAAGCGGGCCTCTTGGCCGCTAGGGGCTTTGGCCACTCACGTGTCGCGTAATGGACGATCGGGTCCATCCGCGGGCACAACGTGGGCTGCGTCCTCCTCCTCCCTCGAGGGGTGGCGTAACCAGAGGTGAAGTCCCCCACCCTCTGGGTCGGCTGCGGTGGCAGGGGGGCATCCATGATGGCCGCCGCGGAGGAGTAGAGCCCAGGCATGTGGTCCAGCGGGAAGCGGTCCGGCTCCAGGTTCGACATCACCTCGTCCAGCGTGAGGAGAGAGCCGACCTCCGAAACCTCTCCGTCCTCACAGTCACCCCACTCCGCGGGCACGGGTGGAAGGTCGAGTGGGGCCCAGTCAGTCTCAGACTCCTCGTCTTGAGAGGAGTCCGGACGGGGCGCTGCAGCGGCGAGGTACGCACGCCTGCGTTCGCTCTCCTCCCTGGGGAGAGCGAGACACGAGGTGCAGGTGGCGCTCAACGCCGCATGGCCCGGGCCCAGGCACATGAAGCAGCTGGAGTGCTGGTCCATGCGCTGGAGCCTGACTCGACAAGTCGAGCAACGACGACGTCTGACGCCGGAGGGCGAAGGGGAACTCGGACGAGCATCAGAAGACATCTTTCTCTGGAATAAAGTACGTACTGTGGTAGATCTCAATCGGCGCCAGAGTGAAAGAGGGGGTGCGGCCTTGTGCAGGGGCATTTATAGAGGAAGGTGGCTGGTGATTGGAGCAAATTATTTTGATCTCTCTGGCGTTTGACCTGGGGGTCACGAGTGATATCCCACTAGCGAAGTCCTAAGGGACGTAGCACCATGACCTAGAACCACAAGACCAAGGTTTTACAGAATACACAGGGCTTAGTACAAGACAAAACAGACACTGCTCTCAAAGTCTGCCATGGCACCAATAATTGACTGTCAGAAAACCAAAACATCCAAGTGGAAAATCACCAGCTTGTGCACACTGTCCCAATAATAAGTTCATCTTTAACCTTTTAACATCTGTTATGGTGGGTCTGAGAATGTTCGATGGCTGTGATTTGGCTCCCGGGCCACAAGTTGAACAGGCCTGGTCTATACAGTGGAGGGCTGTAATTAACGATGATTTTTGATTAGTGGAGTTTGTCGATTATTCTTTCGGTTAGTTTTCTAGATCCTGATTACTCAGTGACACATACATTTGACCAAACCTCAAGGGATGCACCTGTAGATCATCTTAATAGAGATTTTTTTTTTTTTTTTACTTTGGGTTGTTTGATTAAAAATACTTTGAAAACACTTAATTCTGCAGCTGTTATGGAATTATCTGAGCCATAAAACCGCTTCTCAGCATGTTTACATTTATATATGGTTAAAGAATTCATGAATCAATTAAGTATAACATCCAACTTTAGCATAATAAAGAAGCAAGTATAGCATCCAACTTTAGCATAATAAAGAAGCAAGTATAAATCCTGTAAATGGTGATGCAGAAAATGACTACATTCATAGACAACTATTTCAATAGTTGATAAGTTGTGATTATTTGACCTCACACAGAGTATACTGCAGTAAATCCACAGTTCTCTGTCTGTCCCAGGCTCTGACCTGAAGGAAAGTTTCTGTCAGTGTTTCCAGCAGAACAAAGAGACTCTGGGCCGTGACTTCCTTCCTGATCTCCTCACATCAGACTCAAACCCCTCAGGGCCATCCCACGCACTGCACTGTCCCCCTGCGGCACCTTCTAATCAGCACCACACTGTTTGTCCCCAAGAGGCACCGGTAGCACCCAAAATGTCACCACAGCGCTCAGAGGAAGTGACATAATTGTGCAAAAACAGGGGTTTTGTGGATCAGTGGAGCGTCCCTTGATGACAGATAATGTATTTACGTTTTAATAAAGTTCCGGTATTATGTCTGCAACCACGGAAACAGATCTTGGAATTTAGAGTTTGAGCAAAAGAAGCCAAAATATCAGGTTCAAGCACCAGCAGCAATAAGACGTCGTGCTCTGGAGGATTGGGAGGCGGATAAAAGTAATTTCAAGATTTTATATGAACTCGTAGAAAAGGATATTATGTATCACAAAGGAGATGGCAGTCTCAAAATCTTTAAGTTACAAAATTATCATGTTAGAGAAAGCTGTTCAGTTTATCTGGATTCATGCATTTCAATAAAGCAATAATCACATCTGAAGGCGTAGAAGTGCTGCACCGGATCAAATGCAGTAAACGCTGATCCACCAGTGATCTTGGATCCTGGAGGGTCTAAGGAGAGTGGTGAACATCCAGGACACTCCACATTCAATGACATTTATCAACATTTATGGACATACTGTACATTGGTCATCTGCCCCTAATGGACCACTGGCATGTTTGAACTTTTTGATTCTCTGATCTGTGTTGGTGAATCAACAGTTTTGTAAAGTCCTCCGAGATGACCACTGTTGTTTTAGAGCTATACAAAAATACATTAAATTTCCTTCAAAGGGACATTATGTACAGTTGTAATTTCAACTGGCATTTCCTTCTACAGTATATGTGTCCCAGGCACATGACATGTACAAATCATATTTGGCCTTTTTGGATAAAAATCCATCCATCCACTTTTTTCTGCTTCATTGATTGGTGGGTTGCAGGGAAAGCAGAGACGACCAGACTCCCCTCTTTCTTAGCTCATACGGGGGAATGAGCTAAGAAAGAGGCCATAATCAAAATCATAATCAAAAAGCAGGGTGAGTCTCTAATTTGGGTTGCCAATTTCCTTGGTGAAATCTGATGGGTTTGGTCTCCACCTAAAGCTGAGGTGGACTGCATTGATAGTAATGCGAGCTGGAGGATGTGCTTACACACAGGTCCTGTTGCTAAAATCCAGACGTCTTGCTTTGGTCTGATCTGGATGTGGTTATAGCCATCCACTTATCACTTTCTGCCTCAGTCATGTTACAAATGGCCAATTTGTCTTCCGACACTTGTGCTACTTTTCACTTTGAATAGATATCTGTCAATTTCCCTTCTAACTGTACTTAGACTTCTGTGGAATAACACTGTGTGTGTTCAGGGCTCAGTGGAGTACGCAGAGCTGAACGGGGAGCTGCAGCCTGATGTCAACAGTTATCCTCTGAAGCACTACCACCAGGAGCTGCCAGTGCCTGTCGACTGACTCTGCACTGCCCCCGTGTGTCCTGTGTCTGAACTGCACTGAGGTCCTCTGCACTGACTGCCACTGTGGAAGCTGTACATATCATGATTTTTATAATAAAGACACTGTACTTGTGAATTATTGTGTGTCCAATAGAACCAAAGCTGATGTTCTAGATCAGACATTGTGCAAAGTATTGACAATAAGGTAATAGTGTTGAGATGCATCACAGTGCAGAGCATAAGGGAGGAACTATAAAGAATGAAAACTTGGTGAATTAGCAAATGATAAAATCAAGGACCAAAAAAATATGTTTATATTCGTTTTTATAAATATTTTGAATTGTATCAAAGATTTGTCTAAACTTTTGTTCTGGTACAAAAATAACTCGTTTTCCACATTTCTTTTGATTGGAAATTGGAAAGTTCAAGTTGTGGTTGAGCCGTGCAATGACGGCAAGGCCAAAGTTTTTTGTGTCTTGTGTTCATACACAAGGCAAGTCAAAGTGGTCATAAAACAAGATAGAAACAATCATACAACACACTCAAATTATTATCTAGTTTTATATGATGCAATGTGATACATAATTGAATACATTATTTTGGGCCATAGAGGTCTGTGTAATTCTTTTCGTATTACCTAGGTTAGAATGGTAAAACTTTTTTCTTTTCAGAACTTTTCAGATATTAAGAAATATAAATTATAAAAACATCTTGAATTTTAAAATAGAATTTCATAGTTTTTATTTCATGCATTTCCTCTGTGCCCCACTAGAGGTTTGTCCTCAGCTTGTTATTGGCTCCATCTTGTGGAGAAACGTGGCTACTGCAATGATGCAAGCTAATCTAAAATTGGGCTGTTGTCTATCGATGTAACAAGGATTAGTGCTGATATGCCTTTATAATACCAGTAATTCCAAATAAAAAGCCTCTAACCTACTTTACAAGAAACAAACTGGATGTTTAATCACAAACACATCGTCAGTCCTGGATCCAACCCGTTTTTCTGTGGGAGCACATCTCCCTCAACATGGGTCTCCCTAAGAGTTCTCACATATTTCCCACTTTTTTTGTTTTTGTTTCTTGCAGATACAGGAGGATCCAAGATCAGTGATGATTCTGGACATGAAAGGACATTTAAGTTTATGACTTTGGTCATCCCACTTTCCATGGACCGTTGGCTCCTGTGTGTTTTTACCATAGACATATATTACATATCTGTGAGCAAACCGTTTGATTCTCTGATCTGTTGTTAGTGAATTGGCAAGTTTGCAAAGTCCTCTAAGACGACTACTGTTGTGATTTATGAGGACCAAAACTGTCAAAATATTAAATGAATTGATAAATAAAGGTCACAATCTGCAAATTATTTATAACGCTACAACTTATGAGAATTAATAGATATATATTATTATTACACACCGTTTCTTGGTTCAAAACAAACTAAATAAAACATCTTTATTATTTTCTGTCTGCATTTATATCCTTCTTCCTTCAAAGTTTAAGGTTTATAAATATATATACATTATTATGAAACTTTTTTTTCTTTCTGCATGTATTTATTTTCTTCATATCTTCATTTAATTCCTTTTTTATTGATGTTTTGTTTTATTATTTCATAAGTCATGAAATAGTCATTCTCAGTAGAATTACTTTGTTCTTCTATCCCAGACAACAGTAGGTTAGCGATGTTATTACCCTGACATGTTTTGCCAGGGCACCATACCAAGAGGATACACACTTTTATAGCTGCTGCTTTACTAACACGACAATGAGCAAAATAGTTGGAAGAGTAACATTGGGAGTGGGTTACATACAGTATGTGGCTATATTTTCTTTCAGCGTTATCTCAGAAAAGTAAAACAATAAATACTATCATCACACACAAGGCCATGAAGTTTGGATCAAAAGATTAACCATAATATTCAAATGCAGTCAAAAATGTAAATAAACGGACATTCATTTATTTGTTCTTTGAATGGACGTTAAATGGATGTGGAGGATGCTTACTGCTTTGAGTCATTCTACAAACATGATCAAAATAATAATTTCTGTGACAAAACTGACCTTCAGTATGTATTACGAGCCCACGTCATGTTCAGGCTTCCACTAATTGGACATCATAATGCAGATGAGTGAAGGACAGTGTTCCCATGGAAGTGCAGTGACGTGAGACGAAAGCAAAGATACAAGACTAATGAGAAATGTCTTTTTGATTTATTTTATTTCCTGGTATAAGGTTTGGTAAAGTGGTTGGACGATACAACAAAACATATTTATATCTAGGCCTCTGTCTATTTACTGCATGGGTTTGAACTTCCTGTTACATGCTTCATCATCGTACAGTCGTTCTATTTTGTTTTGTGTTTTTTTATTGCTGTGAAAGCCATGTTTACTAAGTTTCATAAGAAAAAATACTTATACTCAAAAAATATGTATTTGTAAAGCACAATTCACACCTATTGCAAGTCAGTGTTTTTGGAATGAGTACAAACAATATTGAAAATTTTACTATATACATTTTGTTGTTGTATTTCTGTATGTATTTTTTCAATGGGGGCAGTTATGAAACTTGCCATAGGCTTCTTGGTCTCAGGTCGAATAAGTTATCACTCTTTACCATCATATCAGTGACAGTAATGAAATGTATTTTACTGATAATGAATCATTTATGATGCATGCCACATTACATGGAGGTGGTGGCCTTACTGTGATTTTTCTACTGAATGTTCTGAATTAATTAGCCCATTAGGTTTTCTGCGTCACTGCATTAGAGGAGGTTTTTTTTTTCAATCTGCAAAATGAGCAACTATGATTGAACCAGTACAATAAAAAAGCAATGTTCTAACTGTGTGTAGCCGTATTATAAAATATATTGTTTAATGTGTAACAAATACAAGATAAAACTATTACTGACGTACAACAACCAAGCATATTGCAAACTGCTACTGTGCCTTTGTTACAGTGATGTGGCTGAAAACTGACAGAATGAAACAGTGAGCTCTCAGCCAATAGGAAGAGGACAGCAACACATTACAACTATTGTTATTTCTTTTTAAGGCTTTACAGACAAAATACAAGCAGACAATCTTTGGTTCACAATGACACAGCCTTCAGCAGTAGTGAGTTGATCAAAGCAAACAACGTGCAGCAATGGAGATATTTACTGAATACTGTTTAGAAATGCTGTGGGTAAGCATTGAGGTTTATGACTCACAATGCAGAGAAAACAAGGACACATGAGGTCATGGGCTGTTATAGAAAGATAATGCCGCTATAGATTTATTATGTTCAAACACCCAAAGCCTCGGTCAACATCTTTTTCATTTCCTCATATCCTTTTTAGAAGACTAATGTCTAATGTGCATTGTTCCTGATCAAAGAAACGCATCAAATTCAATACAGTCTGTGTACTTTCAGCACATATAGATTCTACAAGGAGAATTTTTCTTGATCTGATCTGCCCAACATATTCAAACTGCACCTTCTGTGGAGTGTTTTAAGTCTTGTCTAAATACTTTTTAACACTGCATGAGTTGAGTACTCCTTTCATTTTATTTTGCTGTATTATTATGATAATGTACAATCCTATTTGATTTGTTATGATTTTACTTTCTCACTATTTTTTAAGTATGTTATAGTCTTTTATTGTGCAGCACAACTGTGTTCATGAAATGTACTATATAAATCAATTTGTTTGGATTGGATATTATTGCAGGATGATGTGACAGTCTTTTGCCACATCTGGATCATAGACAAAGGTGTATAGTATATAGTATATTATATGGATTGACTACAGCTCTGCCGGATACGCTTGGATTGTGGCCCTGTGCCTGCGTATCCATGATACAAACGTGTGTAACGTGCAGATAAAGTGGTATAATTCCCTGTTTTGCCACAGACGATGCTGCTGCTGTCAGAGCCTTTCACTTCCAGGTGGCGCGCGCCGCGGTCCAGTCACATTTCAACACGAACACTTCGCTGCTCTTAAATGCGCATGCGCTCCTCTGCCCACCTCCGGTTTCTGCGTGCACTGCCACGTTAGTAGCGGTAGACACAAATACCAGCTCCTCTCTCAGCCTTAAAACAACAACAAAAAGACCGTAAGCAGTGCCACCGTGTCCCCTCCACACGACCCCTGTTCTCCTGTGTCTGTGCTGTAAGAAACTTGAAGTGAAAATGTGGAAGTGGGTGCTGCTGTGCGCTGTGGCTGTAGCCCGTGCAGAGATCGCCGAGGAGGAAGACGTCCTGGTGCTGACCAAAAGTAACTTTGACGAGGCCCTGCAAGCTCATCCCAGCATCCTGGTGGAATTCTGTGAGTATTTTTGCATCTGCGCTTATAAGCCATTACGTTTTTGTCAGTAAATCACCCAGTGCTGCATGCCATACAAGCTAATGTTAACCCAGGTTACGTGTTAGCAAGAAACTTTGATACATGTTGCCTCTCCTCTGGCTCATCTAATCACACCGTGTCTGTTTTCTGAGCATTTCCACATCTTTAACATACAAGTATAACTCCAGATCGCGTCAAAACTACTTTTTTTTTTTAATCTAGCTGATCCTTATGCATAGATCTCTCTGTGATATGGTCATGATTTATTTCCATGGCCTTTGCCTCTCCTCTAAAATGGACCCCGTTTAGTTTTCCCCGAATGCATCCCCGCCAATGAACCGTGGTCTGAAGTTCATTCATTTCGAGTTAAGCCTCCCTTTGATCTCCTCATACCGGGTTTAAACTCCTTTAAATACGCCTGGTGTCATTTTACCTAGACCTGTACTCGACTTTGTCTTATTGGTCTGTGTAAACAATATATTTGACCACTTATTTGCTCAGTTAGAGATGGTTCATGTGTTGAATCATAGGATTCAGTTGTGTCATAATAAAAGGGTTGTGATTTTCCTTCCGTTCATGTCGGAGAAGAAATAACTTTTATAGATTAATTTGTGCACTTAGTGACTACTACATGTGCCTTTTTATAGTAATGAACCCATCGTGATGAATTTGTTTTATTAGATTAACTTTTGAAATGCCTCGAGACTTTCTATGACTGTCTGTCAGAAGAATGGCCCAGTGAGAAATGGCCAGGGGGGGCGTCTGTCCAATGAGTTGGTTTGGGAGTGACACTGCTGGACTCGGTGGGCGTGGTTCGCGTCGATGGACTAGGTTGACGTGTACTTATGGCTATTCCAAACTTACAAAAGTTCAGCTGTTGTTTCTGTGGAGGGCAACAAGGAAGATTTTCACTATTGTGATGCAATCTTTCAATCTATGTGACGTGTCACCTGTATGCAGTGGCTGAAGCGCATTGGTCGTCTGCCTCCATTTTAAAAGCACAAATGACGTTTTCTAAATGATCACCCGTTTTCAACCAGACACCATTTATAAAAAACAAATCTTAATTTCAATATACGAGTTTTTTTTTTATCTTTCTAAAATTTTAAAATTACCTTTTCTTCTGCAATTAATGTAAACAAAATGTGTCAATTTTGATAAACACAACTTTCTTTTTAGAAAATGAATGCTTATTACTGTTTTGGTTAAAGCTGGTGGGGTACACAATTTTCAATCTATAAAATGGCACAATGTAACAAAAATAGAAATAGTTCTTCACTCTTAGTTTGGTTCTATCACTAGTTTTCAAATGCATAAACAGTATCTCTTGTCTCTTTTAGAAGTTTTATTTCAGACCAAAAAGGTAAAAAAAAAAAGGACCATCGTTTTTACAAAATGTATGAGTTTTTTCTAAAATAATGGCAACAGACGGCATGTTTTAGTCCAATTGCTTCACAACGTTCTCATTTTTGCTAGACTTTTTTTGGGTAGAAACGTAGCCCCCAGGTTAATTAAAGTGTCGCTGCTTTTTCTCTTAGATGCTCCATGGTGTGGCCACTGCAAGGCCCTGGGCCCAGAGTTTGCGAAGGCTGCTGGGATGTTGAAGGCAGAGGGCTCAGAAATTCGCATGGGAAAAGTTGATGCCACCGAAGAAACAGAACTGGCCCAAGAATATGGTGTCAGGGGATATCCCACCATCAAATTCTTTAAGGGAGGAGACAAGTCTTCACCAAAAGAGTATTCTGGTAAGTGAAACATTTAATATACTTTCTGCTGTGTCATTCCCTGTCTCTAATGTCTTACTGGTGATTTCATAATTCATTTACTAACTCTTCTTAAGCAAAACTAGTTTCTTACAGCAATATTGCTTTATTTATTGGTGAATTGTTGCTGAATGCATAATTATACAAAGGTAAATGAGACTTTTGTTGTAGAAAACTGATGCAACAATGAGTAAGCTTTCCCATCTGTGCTTGCACATAAGAACACTGATCATCACTCAATGCTTCTCTGCCTTTTTTTGCATCCTAGTAACTTAATCTGTGCGAGTTCGGCCTATCAGATTTGAGCTAGTCTTTCACTGGGTGGGGCAGTCGTGGCATGTTCTCCCCATGCCGTTTACAGTGCAGCAGAGATGTGCAGGTCTTCACGTAGACTGGTAGGATATTTTTGAAAGGAGGTAGAGGTGGAGGCGGGACATAGTAGTACTGCCTGCTTCTTATTCAGGAGTTTTCCTTCCAAGGAATGTAAACAAACTCGACACTTGACAAGGATATGAGGCATTTCCAAAGGGAGAAGCCTTCCCATAGTGTGCATGATAAACAGGTTTTTATTTTAACCTAATGTCTACTTATAATTATTTGAATTGATCCACTCCCCAATAAGTCAAATTCAAGTTATGTACATTTTCTGCAGTGAAATTCCCTCAAATATTCGATAAAAAAATACATGTCACTGTTTTCTCAACCAGTCTGCACTTAAGTACAGTCATGTAGACATATTCTCAGTCAAATCAATACATTTTTATTTATAGAGTGCTTTTCCTACCCAGGGCAACACAAAGCGCTTAACAGTCCATGCCACACAAAGCACAAATCATCACATAAAACAAACTCCAAAGTCACCCATTAAAAACACAATAAGGAAATGTAATTGTCTTGTGATTTTAGTTTCATTATAATCTGAAGTTACCCCTCCTTTTATAAAAAAAAGTTTAATTTCCATTGACGCTTTTGCTGTATGAATTGCATTTGAATAAATTAAAAACAACTCCGGTATGTGTGACGTCTGGAGTACAATAGTTGACTGTAGAAATGTGCCTTTTTTCACAAATTGATATTCAGGGCAGTGACTAATAAATTGCATTTGCTGTCTTGTTTCATGGCAGCGGGCAGACAGGCTGACGACATGGTGACTTGGCTGAAGAAGCGCACAGGTCCCTCCGTCGCGGTGCTGGACGGAGTCACAGGAGCCGAGTCTCTCATCGCCGACAATGAAGTTGCCGTCATTGGTTTCTTCAAGGTAAGCACCCATTCACTCCTATACAATGCAATATGGTTATGTGTCATGTTTTTATAATCACAAACTAGTTGTTTAGAACTAAGTGAACTAAGTATGAAAGGGAGAAAAAAAGTCCCTTCAATTTTACTTTTTTTTTTGTGTGTGTGCAGGACCCCAAGTCTGAAGATGCCCTGGCCTTTGAGAAAGCAGCTGAGGCCATCGACGACATCCCCTTTGCCTCCACCTCAGATGATGCCGTTTACTCAAAGTTGGAAGTGACCCAGGATGGTGTTGTCCTATTCAAGAAGGTAAGATTACTGTAATTATTTTAGTTTTTTTTCTTAAATAGTTGTGCAAAGAGCTTGTACAATAATCTCAGTTTATTCTTGGCCGCTGAAGTCATTCTGGTGATTTGAGCCTTTGGTAATGTGACCCTGTTGACCGAACAGTATCCGCTGGTCCGTGCTAATCTTAGCTCGTCTGAGGTGTTTTAAAACGTGTCTATCGTTGGCTCTGAGCTCCTAATGACTCGGACATGTTGATTTGATTTAGGTAGCGGCATTTTATTTCTGCTAATTGGAATGCTCAAATCAGCCCCTTTTTTTTTTTTTTTTTTTTAGACTACGAAAGCTAGATACATTTGCATCTTTGCTACTTCTTTCAGCAGAATGTGAAGTTGTTACTGTAATCTGGATCAAAGGTTTACTTTTATTGTCCAGAGAAAATTAGAATCCTGCTGGCTTGTGTGGCAGATACTACATGCCACACCCTGCGGAAGACCCCACTTGTATTAAAGGCACACCGCGGACTTTGTGACCTAAAGAGTTGACACATATGAGTTATTTTATATGAATACTTGGGCCAATATACAGCGCTTGACACTTGCAATGCTCCGAGCGGGGCTGCCCTCTTGAAATACCGCCCATGTAACTTTCGAGCAGACGGACCGTCTGCCACCAGGTCACGTGACTTGGAAGAAAGACTTGCTTTACGGCTACAGGCGCTGATATACTCATGGAGCTAAGGCTTTTGCTACTCATTTTTCACCTGCTCGACTCCTGGTCATGGCTGAGGCCAGGAAAAATTTTAAACCTTTGGAGGAGGCTAAAAAGAGGAAACGCGAAAGGGATCGTGCTGTAAGCTGCATGTCTGTATGAGCGCTGCTCTTCACCTGGTTCCTGGATGTCATCGACTGCAAAGATGTCATTCCACGCAGCACGAGCTAGACGCAGAACTCCCTCATCCAGGATATAGAAGTCCATGTGTGGTAGATTACTAATGCAGCGGTCTGGAGGCTGACCACAGCAGAGTCTCTCAATATCTGTAGGCATGTCTCTACAGTTTGAACACACACACCAGTGCATGCTGTCTGAATACACACTCAAAAGACACCGGCTGACTGTTTGACTTTTGCGACAGTGCTGAGTTGCTTGTGGCCACTAGGGGCGCTAAACGTGAAAGTTGCAGGTCTAGCGCCCCTAGTGGCCAAGAGTTACACGGTGTGCCTTTAAATAGGATCAAAGTACATGTCTTCATTAATAAAAGTTTGATAATAAGTAACACAAAGTGGATTCGGCCGTTTTTCAAAAATTGAACATGGCTCTAAAGCATGCAAACATGTTACATTTTTTATGGAAGATCGTAATCCTATTGGTGGAGAAATAAGGGTTTTTCTTTGGTCCATGCAGATTTTTAATGGCAGATAACAGAGAACAGTATTTTAAAGGCATGTCACAATTAAACAATAGTTAGAGCTAATGCGCTAGTTCAAGGTCAAAGTTCAAAGTTTTCTCCATTGGCCCATTAGGGGAAATTGGTTTGATATTACTTTATAGATTTTGTTGCTACCAAAGACTGCAGTGTCATGCTTAAACAGCAGCCAAATGTAGGTCAATCTGAAGCTCCTTTTTCTCAGTGAATGTCTGGATAAGATGAACTTGATTGTAAATTTCTACATTGTGAGAATAATAAATACATTTGCATTAAAAGCTAGTCTAAAGAAAAGTAGAGTTTTTAACTGATATTAAAGTGCCTTTTCTAAGAGATTTAAAAACAAATCTATTTTAAAATAACAGAAGCCAATGCAGAGAATAAAGTACTGGGGTGTGATGTCTGGGAGTTTTGAATGCATGCAAACACAAATGGCCAAAAATGAGTTGAAACTTTACCATTTTTTAAATATTGTTTATTCCCTCTTATTTTACACTCAAATACTATAACGTTACATTTGATACGCTGCAGCTAAACCCCCTGTGTTGGCTCGCTCTTCATAAACAGCTGGCCACTTGAACCTGTTTACTGCCCCCCGGTGTTAAGGGCTTGACGTGCTGTGATGAGGCTCTGAGCCAGTGGCAAAGACCCCTTCTCCATTATGTGCCAGGAAGCGCAGCTATTCTTACAAAACTCATCCCTGTCCACATGTCAACAGGGCAATCAGAGCGGTATAAAGTTATCTCTGGTAAATCTATGTGCGATGTTCACAGGCAGACTCTCAACAGCTGACTGGATAATTGTACGCCGCTTGTTTTTCCGTCTCGTTTCCAGTTCGATGAGCGACGCAATACTTTTGATGGAGAGCTGACTAAAGAAAACCTCCTGGCTTTTGTCAAGGCCAACCAGCTGCCTCTGGTCATCGAGTTCACTGAGCAGGTACTGTTACACGCCTGAACTGATTTTACTATTATTTAACATGATGCAAAGACGTTTTAGTAACACTTGTTCCTATATTGATGGGATACAACTTTTTTTTATATATATATATATTTTTTTTTGCACCTATAAAAGTACATTCACATAGGCCTCTATTGTACTATGCTTACCCTATTTGAAGCACTTTTTATATCACTTGTTCTGTTTATTCATTTACATTTGTACTATATTATCTAATCAAATATCGTTATAGACCCATGTTTGTTATTGAAGGAAAAATAAACTTATCTGGTCTAATCTGACCCTACAGTGATGTGACCACATTTCCATCACGTGAATGAGCATGAGCAGAGCGATATGGCTAGACTTGTCACAGATGCAGATTGCAGCTCATTCCATAAGAACGCCATATTGTCCATAGCAGGGGTATCAACTGGTCGTGAAAGTGGCTGTGGCTGCAGGTTTTTATTCCTACCAAGCAGGAGCACACCAGACTCCACCAATTTCTTCAAGTAAATTCCGCTTTAACCTGAAGACTTGTCTGGTGCTCCTGCTTGGTTGGAATTAAAACCTGCAGCCACACCGGCCCTTTCGTGAACCAGTTTGACACCCCTTAGTCTATAGTTTTGCCCATTCTATAGACAAATTAATTCCTTATGTAGCCCAAATCATGAACCAAGGTCAAAATAAGTGTTTTGCAAGAGGATGCATCATAAATGTTAAATCGTCAAGCCCCATGTTCTAACACTGTGCGTGTGAATCATTGTTTGTCTTTTGTGCCACAGACTGCTCCCAAAATCTTCGGCGGTGAAATCAAGTCTCACATCCTCATGTTCCTGCCCAAAGATTCTTCAGACTTCCAAGTGAAAATGGACCAGTTCAAGAAGGCAGCAGAAGGATTCAAGGGCAAAGTGAGTCACGTTTGAATGCTGTTAATCCTTCAGGCGCTAAAGTGGAAGATGAAGTGCGTTTTTATATAAGGCCTCTCTCAAAGCGCTCACCATTAAAGCATACAATAAAAATAACGCAACTAGAATCCACATTATGAATTCAGCAACCTGGCCTCCAACAAACTTTTCCCTACACTTTTCTTGCAGTTTTAAAAATGTATTTTAGCCGTAATCTCTTGTATAAAGGTTCATGGCTCCACTTCTATTTTCTGAACAACCCTAATTTACAAATGTAACTCTTGATTATTATTATTATGGATAAGAGGTGGACATAATACATTTACAACTCTTTTGAAATGTATGCAAAGTCATGTTATTGCCTTGGTTGGTTTTGCAGACATTTGTGAAATACTGTAATCCAAAACATGAGATTTCTATCATGTTTTGGAAAATATTAGACAATTTTTACAATAACGTGTAATCAAGATGGTTAAAAATATATTGTTCTAGTTGTAATTTCTGGTCAATACTTCCCACCTTTTAATCTGAAACTATCCTGTATAAATGTCAAAGGTCCACAATGTTGTTTTAATGATGGCTTATGCTGACTTGTCGTGACACTGGACTATTCTGTATTCATGTTTAATAATAAACCTTTCTCCACAGATCTTGTTCATCTTCATCGACAGCGAAGTGGACGATAACCAGAGGATCCTGGAGTTTTTCGGCCTGAAGAAAGAAGAGTGTCCCGCCATCCGCCTCATCACACTGGAGGACGAGATGACCAAGTACAAACCCAACAGCGACGACATCACAGCGGAGGGCATCACCGAGTTCTGCACAATGTTCACAGAAGGAAAACTCAAGGTGAAAACAACTTATGTACAGCGTGGGTGAAAAAGCAATAGTTTGTTGAAACGTGGGTAAAACACTGCGTAAAACAGACTCTGGGATATTTCTTATAGACTTCAAATTGTGGTATTGGAGGATGTGGCAGGAAAGCAAGCCATTCTGTGGCTTATAGTATTTCCTGAGTAGGCGTTAGATTCTAAAGTTTACTCTCTGCACAACTTAGCTGAGAAACCGTTTTGATTAATCGGGAGGCTTTGTGTTTTTAAAGACTTTAACTTCTCCTTTTTAGACAATAAGGAATTACTGATTAATATACACTGCAAAAAGGGATCAATAAGTAAAAAGTTGCTCAAATTTAAGCACATTTCGACTGCCTTAAAATAAGATGATCTTGTTTTTAAAAGATCCAAGACATTTTTCCTTTGGAATGAGAAAATAAAGCTAGTTTTTTAAAATGGGACTAATTGGCTTTGTCCCATTGTCAAATCTTGTTCTGAATGTACTCAAATCAGGATAAAAGCCACTCAATTAAAGCTATTGTTACCTATATTTTATCCTTTTTTGCAGTATAGTTGTATATGTACACAACTATATTGATGTAACTCTCAGCCCCCCCCCCCCCCCCCCCCCCCATTTTCTTATTTAGCCACCAGAAATCTACATCTTTAAAAAATATTTTGAAACCTTGGTATTAAAGCTGCTGTTTCTCTCAACAGCCTCACCTCATGAGCCAAGACATCCCCGAGGACTGGGACAAGAACCCTGTCAAAATCCTGGTCGGGAAGAACTTTGAGGAGGTGGTCTTCAACCCAACCAAGAATGTGTTTGTCGAATTCTGTAAGGACCATTTATCTTTGATTTAATACGCAACACTTTGACACCATTACAACAGACTTTGGTAGTATTTTTAGCAAGAAAATCCTTTCCGTCCTGGCACACGTCTTCATTCTATCTCTTCAAACTTTCCCGAAATTATTATAGACACAGCTGAGTGATCTGGTCAAGTATAGCCTCCTGGATTTTATTTAATGGTGATCTGTGTCTATACTCGGACTCTATGGGGAGGAATTTTCCATCTTGTTTAAATGCAGCCTACAGCGCAGGCTTGTAGTGGGGTAAGTCCGCCAGAGTTTTCTCAAATCTGAAAAGGGATGGAAGCTAAATGCACTGTGCACTTGAGGAACACACCAGTGCAGCTGCCAGTTCAGGCATGACTCTGCAAAAGTCTAGAAGGGACATATACAGTGAGAGTAAAAAGTATTTGATCCCTTGCTGAATTTGTTGGTTTGCCCACTAATAAAGACATGATCATTCTATACTTTTAATGGTAGATGTATGCTAACATGGAGAGACAGAATATCAAAACGAAAATCCAGAAAATAACTTTCAAGAATATATTTTAATTAATTTGTGTTTCATTGAGGGAAATAAGTATTTGATCCCTCTAGACAAAAGCAGTTAATACTTGGTGGCAAAGCCTTTGTTTGCAAGCACAGCGGTCAGATGTTTGTGGTAGTTAACCACAAGGTTAGCACACATATCAGGGGGAATATTGGCCCACTCTTCTTTGCAGATCCTCTCGAAATCATTCAGGTTGGTGGGCTGTCGCCTGGCAACTCGGACCTTCAGCTCCCTCCATAGATTTTCAATAGGATTGAGGTCCGGAGACTGGCTGGGCCACTCCATGACCTTAATATGGTTCCTCTTGAGCCACTCCTTCGTTGCCTTTGCTGTATGCTTTGGATCGTTATGTTGGAAGACCCAACCACGGCCCATTTTCAGCTTCCTGGCAGAGGGGAGGAGGTTGTCCCTCAAGACTGCACGATACATGGCTCCATCCATCTTCCCACTGATGCGGTGTAGTAGCCCTTTGCCCTTGGCAGAGAAACACCCCCAAAACATAATGTTTCCACCTCCATGCTTGATGGTGGGCACAGTGTTCTTTGGGTCATAGGCAGCATTTTTCTTTCTCCAAGGCCAAATAGTTCAATTTTGGTCTCGTCTGACCATAGAACCTTCTCCCAATCACTTTGTGCATCTTTGAGGTGATCATTGGCATACTTTAGGCGGGCCTCCACATGTGCCTTCATAAGCAGGGGTACCTTTCGGGCACTGCAGGATTATAACCCATTCCGTCTCAAAGTGTTGCCAACTGTTTTCCTGGCGACTGTGGTCCCAGCTGCCTTGAGGTCATTCACTAACTCCTGCTGAGTGGTTGCAGGACGATTTCTCAAAGTTCTCATGATCATTGTAACCCCACGAGGTGAAATCTTCTGTTGAGAACCAGATCGAGGTCTGTTGATAGTCATGTTATACTTTTTAAATGTTCGAACAGTAAGTAAGTAAGTAAGTAAGATTTTATTTATATACCGCCTTTCACAGACCAGAGTCTCAAAGCGGTTTACAATTGTTATTTTTTGAGCACTTGTCTCTCACTCCACACAGAGATGGGAGCGGGGTCGCCGAACAGGAGGCGCATGCCAGACCTATTGTACATATTTTTAGTGGTAGGGGAAACCGGAGGACCCGGAGGAAACCTACACAGACACGGGGAGAACATGCAAACTCCACTCAGAAAGGCCCTGGTCCGGCCGGGATTCGAACCCAGGACCTTCTTGCTGAGAGGCGAGAGTGCTATCCACTCAGCCACCGTGCCGCCCAGTTGCACCAATGGTTGTTACTTCTATTCCCAGCATCTTGCTAATGTTTTTGTAGCCCATTCCAGATTTGTGGAGGTCAATAATCCTGTCTCTGAGGTCCTGAGAGAATTCTTTTGTCCTACCCATGCTGGAGAGCTTTGAACCGTCTGAGTCTCTGATTGGGTGTCTTTTATACAGGTGATTAGTTGGAACAGTTGTCTTCATCTCAGTCTTAGACACTACCAATCAACTTGGGAATTTAACTGCTCTGTGAAAGCCAGAAATAGGAGGATCAAATACTTTTTTCCCTCAATGAAATACAAATGAATTGAAATATATTCCTTAAAGTTATTTCCTGGATTTTCTTTTTGATATTCTCTCATCATGTTTAAATGCATCTACCAATAAAAGTATAGAATGATCATGTCTTTATTAGTGGGCAAACCAACAAAATCAGCAAGGGATCAAATACTTTTTACTCTCACTGTAGATGTTTGCTTATTTTTTGTTATAAAGTTGAGGTTCATGCATAAATTCTGACTCAGATTTTGTAGGTGGTTTTTATTCATTAGAGTATTTAATGTTAATATTTTCCCGTATTTTCTCTTTAATCTGAGGTTTATGTTGTCCACACATTTCTTTGTTATTAAGTCATTTGTCATTACAATAAATAAAATGGTATTAAAGCTATGGGGCGACAGTGGCTCAGTTGGTAGAGCATTGGCCTTTGAGCCTGAAGGTCGTGGGTTCGAGCCCACCACGAGATCTACTTCACGACTCCCACTGATGACTTCTGTCGTTGTGTCCTTGGGCAAGACGCTTGACCCCATTTTGCCTGAAACCCCCGCTGGAAGATCAAGGCTCCTGTAGACTCACCACCTGCAGGAGGATCAGTGAGGGGCTGGTGCTCTGTGTTCTGGGTGGATGGATGGATGGCTATTAAAGCTGGGATACTTAATTTTCAAACCACATATTTTATTAAGTATTAAAATCCATCAAATATTGTCCGAGGCTCTTAGAAAAACCTCAAAGTGAGAATGTGGGGAGCATCCTCACTCGCCTATTGGCTCTAAGCCCAAAACTGCATTGTGATAAGACTTTGTAAAAAATAAACACCAGACCACATGAATCTGTTAAAACACTGTTGAAAAATGTGTCACGTCAGCTTGAAGAAAATGTATAAAGTATAGACTTATCAATAGCACCCTGCTGAGTCTCTGGTATTGGCGAGATAGTTTTGTAGATTTTGACTTGAGACTCTACAAATGGTAATGTTTTCTAATGTTTTCCCCAGATGCCCCATGGTGCGGCCACTGCAAACAGCTGACTCCCATCTGGGATAAACTGGGAGAGAAATTCAAGGACAACGAAGAAATCGTCGTTGCCAAAATGGACTCCACCGCCAACGAGATCGAGGCGGTCAAAGTCCACAGCTTCCCCACACTCAAATTCTTCCCAGCTGGGGACGACCGCAAGGTGAGCGCCCGGATTAAGCCATGCTCTAAAAACATTAGTCCGCTCGAGTAATTTTATTTATCTCCAGACATATGTACATAAAAGATGTGTTTTTGGTTTCAGAAATCATTTTTTTCCTATTCTTTAATTCTAATCTTAAACTGGGGTTATACACGTTTTTCTGCTCACTCAATGTGTTTTAAATGTGTGAATATTTGACTCTGTATTTTATTTTACACCCAGTCACCATCTGTCATAAGCAAGTTCCTTAATAAAGTTGTGAGAAGGCGATCCGTTGCTAAATGAGCACGTGCAGAAACTTGACCCACATTGGCTCAAAAAGTTTCATCCGCTAATGTTGAGGCAGTTTGGGCCTTTACAGATTCCTGCTTGTTGACTTCATCTTTAGCCTCAGCCTGACACCTGTTGAAGCCGTTGCACCAGTTCACGTTGAGTAGAAACCAAGCACGTGTGTCAATCTAATACGACCACAGGGTAAAACCTAATCTATCACTCGGATGCAGTGCAATTGGTTGGTTAATCCTAGCTAATATTACTAATTTACATCTAAATTAGCTAGTATGTACCCATGCCAGCGTGCAAGAGTAGTTCTCATTGAAAATCAAAACTGCTGTATATTAGGAAGAACTGTGGATGGCTGAATGTGATAACCGTGCAATATTATCTTTCCTCGTAGAAATCAATAGGAAACTCAATCTCTTCATGTTGTTTTGTTCTTTCAAGCTTCTGTTCCAAGATCTCTCTCAAAAGGATTTCAGATCTTTTATATCTAGCAGTTCTCAAATATTCACTTATTTGGGAAAATGGCAATCATAAGATTATTAATTTGGATTATTATCAAAGATTTTAGTAACATTTGTAGTGCAACTCACGTTTACTACTCCCATTAAGTTCTTCTTCCACCCTGACGAGAGCTTTTAAGTATTCTATAGCTTCCTAATGATCATTAATAGTATGATTGTGCTTCTACTGCATAAAGTTCTCTTTCCAATTTGACACTCCGCTGTCCACCATGACCCATATCTGTCTGAGATGTTAACCATCCGTTCAGAAGCAATGGCCTAAGGCTGTATCGAGTCTCATTTTACATTTTTACACCTTCACTCTGCCGACTCCTTCTCAACCACTTGCTCATTCTGTAGTTTTGGACTATGTAATTTGATGCAATTTCAATCAAAATCAATGTAATTTCTTTGTAACTAGTCGGCTTCTGCACATCACTTTTATTATGTGCTATGACTATGTGAAAGACTGGATTGTCTACTTTAATCAGCAAAAATAAGTTTGTTTCTAGCTAGTTTTGTTGTTCTGTAATCAGTCTCAGACAAATACATCAATGGCAGTCAATGAGGTAAGCTACATATTGACCTTGTGCCTTGTTTTGTGCACAGGTGGTGGACTACAACGGAGAGCGGACATTAGAAGGCTTCAGCAAGTTCTTGGAGAGCGGTGGAAAAGATGGAGGCGCCCCAGCTGCAGATGACGAGGATTTGGTACGTGTAAACTTATTACCGTATTCTTCTCTAGGGCTGTGCTGCTCAGCTCAGTTCACTTCTTTAGTTAATGCATCATCCTTTCAAATAACAACTTGACATTTTTATATATTAAGGTAATAAAAACTGATGTCCTGCAACAAATGATGGCTAAAAATCTAGTTGCTATCCGCAGTCCCTGGTTTCATGAATAAACTGTTCAATAACATGCAGTTAATGATAAATGATGCACTGACATTGAGACCTTTGCAATACACTCATTCACAATCATTTTACATGACGCTAACTTTAAACCCCATTCTGAGTGCAATAATACTTTTCATAGTATAAATAATTAGACGGGGCTTAGTTGGAATAGGATTCTTTATTTTAAGATAAGATGGACTTTATTTATTGATTACAATTTTCTCTATCCCTTTATATCTTTGCTCATTTTGAATTACAATTTAAATCTAACATTGCCGTTGGGTCTGGAATTATGTTAAAATGCTTCAATCCATTTTTCCCGTTAAGAGGAAACGCATAATACACAAGTCCATATGCAATTTTCATATCATGTTGGAATAATATTCAAAGTAATAGAAATGGCTATAATCTCCTAGTTTGGACAGGTTCTCTTCAGTCATGATATGAAATATTACTTTGACTTCCATATTCGGCAATCCTTAGTTAACTTCAACTGTTTTGGACTCGCGTTTCTTTGCTTTTTTTGGGGAGAGGTAGATGGCATCATGTCTGTTCTAAATATACGACAGTAACCTTGGACGTTGCATAGTAGTTCATGCAACTTGACACGCGTAAACAAAACCGAGATTTTAACGAGCTTTGCGGGAAATATTGCCATACCAACAACTTGACGCCCAACCAGGAGTCATAAGTTTAATGTTGTGCAGAAGCTTCTCATAGATTTTAAGTAGTTTCAAGTTGTTGGCTGCATGAAGTGTTGGTCAAACTGAATCTATATTATGATTGTCAAAGGGGGAAAAATGACAAATATGGATTTAGTTTAACAAAGATCAGATTTTTTATGCTTTTAAAGTCAACTGCAATGGCACTTTTCGAACCAGTTACAAGTTGGTCTGTTATATTGATATATGTAAAAGTAAGTATAGTGTTTTTTTGTTTTTTTAATTAAAATTTCAAACATGCACATTTTTCAAGCAACTCCACTCAATTTTAGCGATTTTTAAAATGTTCCTCTATGGTCTTTAAAGCATTCTAGTTTAAGATGTCTGCAATAATCAGGTTTTGCGGTAAACTAATGTCCTCAGTTGTAAATTGTATAAACAAACAGATCCGATTCAACTCTTGTGCAATAACGTAACACAAGCCTCAAACATGAGCCCAATGCATTATGGGGTTTGTTGTTTAGTTCATATTTCATCTCTTGAATGTTATCGTTCATGGACAAAACAAAATCGCAACAAACAAATAAGATATTTTGGGAAAGTAATAATAATAATCCTGGACATTTACGGCAGATCATATTTACTTCTTTTCCCTCCAATGGGGAAGTGTGCAAGCCCCTTCCCAGAATACCCCTGGGCTGCCCCCTGCTCCCGGCTCCCCGGCTGATGCCTTGTGCAGCTGTTGGCACTGCTGGCTTTACACAGAGACTTATTAAAATCTGCACGTGCAACATTTCACTCCACAGTAGCCCGATGCTGCTCGGCACTCGGCTGTCTGCTTCATCTCTGTGCAACAATAGCGGTTGTGGCTGCAGAGACGTGATGCTGCTATGCTAACGTGACCACAACGGAGCAGTTTATTTTGGGAGGATTTCTCGAGCTGGTTCTTTGATAAGCAAAAGCATTCAACCTTTTACCAGTCGGAACAAGAATCAGCCGAGGACCACTGGCTGCATTGTTTTGTCAAATTACAACCGAGACTGAGAAAGCAAGTTCATTGTACCTGTGCAGACTGGGGTAGTCTTGTACAGTTTTTCCAATGTGGTTTTACTGCAAATGGCAAATACATTCTTGTATCTTGTATATTTGATGTTGGTGCTTTACATGGAGTTTTCCCTGCAATTTAAGTATAGCATATGTACTGCAGCACTTTACAAATGTGCACATTTATTTAGCTAATATCAAGAGGTTCATAGCTGGTGGTTTCTTTAAAGTCCGACCCTGAGACAATCCTTCCAGTGTCAAAAATAAAACCTGCAAATGTTTTCCCCACATGTCTAAAGAAATGCTTGTATTTTTAAATTTGCTTTCAAACGCAAAATACCAAAGTTAGACTTTACGTGCATGTACAGCACAGAACCGGCCAGATTCTAAAAGGGCTTGAGCATTCGACCATTTTATTTGAAAATAATTTGAGCAACATTATACATATTTGTTTCTGAGAGATTATGTATATATATTGTGAAGTATGATCCATGGCAAATGTTAAAAACTGTTAAGTCCAGATGTCTGCATACTTTAACCTTTTTGTAATGCATGCATTTAAATCAAAACTGATTTTTCAATTCAATTTTTTGCATTATTGCCATAGTAAGTGCATTTCTTAACTGTGCTTCCTTAACTTTTTGTCGGACAGGATTTGGACGATTTGGAGGACGAGCAAGATGACGACTCTGACGGCGAGGACGATGGACACGACGAGTTGTAAATCCTTTTTTTTTTTTTTTTTCTTTTAAATGACACAAACCTTGGAGAAAGGAGACGTGTCCACCATCACTACCATCACTTCCTCTTCTTCCCCATGAACATAACACGTGCCCTTTAACTGCTGAAGGGTCAGTCATCCGTCAGTCATTCACCTCTTGCTACTGGCCGCAAAAACGAGATGTTGTGAAAACGCACCATGTTATTTTTCTAATATAGAAACGGGAGACCTCGATGCCTTCTCGACAAAACTCCACATCAGCCGTTTGCCTTGATTTAAACCAAATGTAAACATCAAAGCTATCGACGCCATCTTTTTTTCTACAGTCTCGCCTCTGTTCGCCGCGGACAGAATCAAGTTTAACGCAATGTCCTGATTCGTTATTTTTTTTATATATATCATGTTCCCGTCTGATTTTAAATGTCGTGGCGCGTCTGTAGGGAGTGATTGCTCAGGGGCACACGTGGGGATCCATTCTATCGGTGTGTGTTTTTGTATTCAACGGCCGTGTTATACCGTAGTGTATCACCAACCAGGCCCTTTTCCCCTCATTTGTAACTAAGACCAATTTTACTTTCTAGGTTGGGAAGACTACTTTATTTCATCACTTCATTCCCTTTTCAACTTCCCATTTATAGACGTCTCATTTCGCATTGCTGCTTGCGTTTTTGTAAAAGAAATATAACTTTTTGAGGGTAATTCATGTTATTTAATTGCTTTCACTGAGGACTTATTTTATTTTAGGTTTTGTCATTTATTTTATTTTTTAAATAATAATTTTCAAATATTCCCTGTTGTAGTATTTTGGCCTTGATTATTTTTTGTCAGGCCCCAAAAACTAATTTTTCAAGAGTTCAAAGTGATGACTCTTAATAGGTTGCACTGCATTTATGCCTATTTTGAGATTTGTTATTACAAGGTGGACTGGTGCAAATTACTGGTCGGGCTGGTCTGAGAAATGTGTCTATTAATACTGAAGGGAGCAGTTGTATTGCCCTATCCTGCACCATTTATGTACGAAACCTCCCATTTGACTTTGTTTTGTACCTTTTGGTTGCTCCAGTGTGATGTATGGTTGCATATGCGTGAAAGTTGTGTGTGTGCGATTGTGAACAAAACTGGTTATACTTTGTGCATTAACAGGAGAATGTGTGTGTGTGTATGTGTGAGCGTGGAAGAGGTCAGCCAGAGTCTTGGGGATGGGTGTAACAACTGTACAGGTGTGTGGGAGAAGTCAACTAAAGCATTCCATCATATCCAAATTGATGTGGAAATGTGAAATGGTGGCCAATAAAAAAACAAAACAAAATGTGTCTCATCTGCTTTGTTCTAGACATGGAATTTTTGTCAGTTTTGTTCGAGAAGAATGGGGGGGGGAAATGTAGATATTCGCACATAAAAAAAGTGTCAAATATAGTTCAACACACAATAGATTAGAATAGTCTGTCTTGAGTCTGCAACATCTACCAAAATGTTAGAAAAAGCTTGACTTATTATTTTGGTTATTATAATCATAAGACTTCTAGTCACAGGCGCTAATGTGTCATGAGGATATATAAAGGCTGAATCCACCAGCGTCAAGACTATTTGTCATCTAAACATTTTCCTAAATTAGCAGCAAAGATGGAGACTAAAATATGTTGTGTAATATTAACTAGACGGGGAATCTCATTGGATTATTCTGTAATTCAACTTAACCAGTATATGAAAGAATTGTCACATGTCAAGCTATTATAATTTTGTTTATGGTTTAGTCAATTTTCATACTATTTAATTTTTTTGTCTGAGTTTTACAAGTTGTGAGTCTTAAATTCTAAATTACAAACGCTCCATGAAGTCTGTCATATATTAGCTCCACGTTTACATTCAAGTACAGAAAGGCAATTTTAAACTGTATTCGATCCAAATTTCACCTTTACATAATTAATGACAGAATTGCAGGCCCTCATCTATTTTGAAATATTTAATGGCAGTCAAGCATAATACAATACACACTTTCTCTATCGAATGAATATGTGATATGTTTCTCTTCTGCTTTTCAGTTTGAAAATCAATGTTTGCATGAGTCATTTATTATTCAACCAATTACACACAGCTTGTAGTGCTGCTTATACACGTGGTAAATGCTGCAACCTCTCCTGTGTCGTCCATCAGCAGACTATCTTAGAATATGACAATGTTTATGTCAATAGTAGATGCATGAGCCAACACTGTGGCCCTGCTTTTGGCACAAACACACAGATACACTTGCAATAAACCACATTTATCTTGTCATGTTTACTCTGACCACTGCCCCCTCCTCCTCTTTGGGCTTCAGGGATGTCACCACTTTCTTAAGGGGGAGGCTGAGTAACCAGTAGAAACCTGTAGAGAGATGTGTGCTACGTGAGGGAGTGGTTGGCCTCCGGTGGGTGGGACTTTGCCAAGCAGCAACTCATCTTCCAGATTGTACTAGTGTGCAAGCTGCCAGCCCCTAAAATAGATTGACAGGGAGTATATAGAGCAGTAAGGGAAGACCCATTCAGTCAAACTAACATTGCCTTTGAGGAAACTGCTCTGCGAATCTATCAACCTGCACTTCTTCTGAATCAACTTTGAATCTACAGTTGAGTTTTCCTTGCTTGGAATTATAATTATACATCAAGATGAAGTACTACTATTGTCCAGCAGCTCAGACCATCAGCCCCAAGCCTTACACCAATGACTTTGGACTTCCGATCACCTGCAAGGGGAAAGCAGCTCTGAAGCCGGTCCGCAATGTCCACTTCCCAAATGAAATTGTGTTCCAGGATTACATCAGACAGGGAGAGATGGAGAGGATTGGACTCTTCATCAGATCCAAACGGGTCAGTCTGGACACCCTCTACCCCTCAGGTGAGCACCAGGACAAAGTGTTCCACCCTTGGCCCGGGTTCAATTTCAGATCCAGATTTGACCTATTTACTTTACCTATCTACATTTCAATTTATAACATTGGTCTGTGAGGATCCCACCTCTCCAAGAATCAAGTTACTCATTTCAGACAATAATTGTTTGATTGTTGAACTGTTTTTGACAAAAAATATGACAAGGGTGTTAACAAGTGCTTTTGATTTGTGGATAATTTACATGTCTTAGAATATTCATGCCCATGTCTTGTATTTCTAAAGCAATTTTTCACAAAACATTAAGAACAATTGACATCTCTTATCTCAAAATAAGATTAATCCTTTTAAAATTCAGCCACAACTCACTTTTTGTTTGCAGTTCATGAAGGGAACCTATAAATCTAATACATAATTCTATCTTTCTTTGTGTGAAGGAATGGCCGCTATTCACGAAGCTGTTCTGTCTGGGAACCTGGACTGTGTGAAGCTGCTGCTGAGCTACGGAGCAGACATCCATCAGAGAGACGAGGACGGCTGGACCCCTCTGCACATGGCCTGCAGCGACGACTACCCCCACATCGCACGGTGAGCTATTCACAGAACTCACCTGAAATACCAGAAAGAAAAAAAGAGGAAAGAAAAACCCAGAACGAGCCTTAATTGGAGTCCAAATATAAGGAACATGTTAGATTAATTACGCTATAAATGCACAGCCACTTAGAGTTGCTATTAAATACTTGCAAATGGATGAAATGACAGATAAAACACATAATAAATAAAGAATACTGTGTTTTTACCAAATGCAACTAATTTATCTTAAAGCTTTTTTTTAAGTAACTATGAACTAGTTCCTGCCTCAGTTTGGCTCTATCACTAGATTTCATAAATATGTACTGTATTTTCAAATGCACCCAAAAAGCCAAATAATGACTCCAAGGCTTTCTATATAATTATGCAAAAGATATGGTGTTTTCTAAAAAGATAAAGACAGCATTTGACTTTTACTAAACTCTTTCTGTTGGAGCAAAGTGTACTATTAATGAAAAAAATAGTTTGGTTTTGGTTATCGATAAATCTTTTGTGGATACTCAATCTATATTTAATTTTGGAGACTTTTCTAAACCTTTTACTTACTTAATACTTAATCCAATCCCTGTTATTCATATGCACATTTTACAAAACAAGTTTCCAAAGTTCCGCACAGAGAAATACATTCCACAGGTGTGCCAGCTTTATGTAGAAGAAATAGAAGATGAATAAACCAATATGATGTAAGAACTAAAAGCAATGAAAATATGAATTATTTATACATAATTAAAACACACAACTCGCACAGTGCTAGAGACATTAATACATCTTTCGCGTTCACCACAGCAGTAAGACAAGCTCGTGCATTCCCGCGCCTCTCTGACCTCATACGCTGCATACTGACATTACTGAGGTGGATTCTGTTTCTTGCAGGTACCTTCTCTCTCTGGGAGCAAATCGAGACCTTGAAAACGACAATGGGGAGAAACCAGAAGATTTGATCGACCCAGACAGCAAGGAGTTGATGCAGCTTTTTGGCCTCGTTACAAATGACTGAAAGAAGTTTGAAAATGAGTTAGAAAAGAATATGTGTGGAAAAAAATAAGTCAAAGTTGCTGATGCAGTTTTGGGCTGATGACGACAGGCGATACCACGATTTATCCTGGTTTTGTGAGCTTGTGTTGAGGAATTCTGAATATTGAGGAGAGAAAGGCTGGTACAAGATTGGTCATGTGAGAGGCAGGACACACTTGTGCTGACTGATGATATTCAGGAACCCCCAAAAGGGAGGAGCCCTGTACATTTTGACACCGCGGTGAGTCCCTCCTGGCATCTGCGGCTGGTATGGATCCACATGTAAAAGACTTAGGAAAGCTTTGAATGTTGTGAAAGACGAAGCTGTTACGCTCATTAGGTCCTTCTGCAGAGATAAAAATAGTACAAAAGTATATACTATGGATTGTCTTAAGATGGAAATGTGTTTACAATGTACAAAGATATAAGCATGTTGAATTTGAATGACTACATTATAGCGTGGATATTGGTTTTGACTAATATATTATTATTATTACCTACCATTCCTTTTTGTATTCAACTTTTTATCTTTTTTAATAAATAAATAAATAAATCAACTGTGATTCCATTGTTTGGTCATTTGAACTTGCCACAATTGTGTAGAATCTCTTTTACATTAGGCCAGGCAGGTTTATTTATATACTTGCTTCTTTTTGCCAAATGTTAAACTTTTACACCTCTTTTATTATAATTTTCCAGATAGAGATTTTATACTTATTATTGATGCTAGAGTTAGAGATGTAGTTTTATTTTAATTAGTACAGCTATTGTTCACTTGACTTGTGCTGTGTGCTCCTCGTTCCTACTGTCCTATAACTTGTGATGCAACACTGAAATTTCCCCACTGTGGAAGAATAAAGGATCTCTTAATCTTAATCAATTTGTATAGCACAAATCACACACACAGCAATCCAAAGTGCTTAACAAAACAGGAAAAGAAACATCAAGAAGTCCCTGGGTAAGGCTGTCAAAAAGTTATATATATATTCATTTAACTGATGGATTACTATATTATATCTTATATGGACTTAAACTTGCTGGGAATGGGTTTTATGATTTAGGTAATTCCATAAGTACTGCAGAATGAGATGAAAATTTGTTTACAAGATATTTTTAATCAAACAACTCAATGTGTACTGAGTAATCTTCATGCAAAAGTTCTCTGGAGGTATCACATTGAGCTAAATGTGAAAGGCCATATTCAAATGATCTAAATGACTAATAGAATAAACAGCCAACTAATAGATTATCAAAATAAACGTCAATTACCGTCCTGGGTGTGACCCTGAGCACCACATGGCTTTTCCGTCTACATGTGATATACACTACGGAAAACTCACTAGAATTGTGTGTTTCTGAAATTCAAATTGTGGAACCAATATAACATGAGATAAGATAGACCTTTATTCGTTCCACAGAGGGGAAATGTCAATGTCATCGTTCCACTTGGGTAGGATCTATTATTTAAAATGATAGATAATAAAATAAAATCATAAAACTCTGGAGCTACAATTGCACTTGGTTCAATGATAAGTCACTTGTGGAGAATACACTGTAGCAGCATCATGATGTATTTACAATAGTAATAGATGCTGCTTCTCTAAAAGCTATAGAAAAGACCCTGTTTTCATCAATAGTGATAGAATAAACAACCAACCAGCTTTTAAATATGGAAGTTAGTTTAACTAATTGATTAGAATCAGAAAAAACATTTTTTATCGCCATTTAAGTAACAGGAAGTCACAGACTAGGACATTGCTTTAGCTCTGGGCATCAAAGAGAGAAAAACAAAAAAAATTAATAGAAAGTAATAAAACATGGGGGGGGGGATGGATATAGTAATCAACCATTTTAGTAATCCATCATTTTTTTAATCCAACAGACTTTAACTTGCTGTGTAGAAGTTTTATGATTTAGATAATTCTATAAGGACTGTAGAATGAAATGAAAATGTGTTTGGAAAGTGTTTTAATGAGACAACTCAATGTGTATCAAGTCATGCAAGTTCATGCAAAAGTTCTCTGGAGGTATCACGTGAGCTTTGTTTTGGTCAAATGTGAAAGGCCATATTCAATGTCCTGTCAGGACCTGGACGACGAATCAATTACATCAATAGAATAATCAGCCGACTAATAGATTATCAAAAGAATCGTTAAATACAGTCCTGGGTGTGACCCTGATCACCACAAGGCCTTTCTGAGTAGAGTTTGCATCAAATTCCTCTTGGTGCTTTGGTTTCCCCTACCATTAAAAACATGTACAATTGTCCCTCCCTCTTCTGGAGCCAGGACTGCTGAAAAGGAAAGTCTGAATCGCAATGGCACTATCCTAATTAAATAAGTGATATATACAATAAACATTGTGTTAAGAGCCATTTAATAAAACATGAATAGAGTCGTTGTCAAAACATTACCCAAGATACAAAAACTGATATTTACAGACAATACACAAGACAAACTGATTCATTCTTTGAACTTCCACTCCTGTCTGCACATGGGACACTGCTGCTGGACCTGCTGCGAGTTCAGCCACTTCAGGATGCAGTGCATGTGGAAGCAATGAGAGCACTGGCCCCAGACCAGCGGACAGTCATCCCCAGGGACTTTACCTTGAAAATAGGAAGAAATATTTGAATTGTTCATTTGTCTAAAACAGATAAGTGACATTATAAGAAAAAATAATTGAACAGCTTACAATTTTCCTTTTTCCCCAAGTATTTTGTTGTTGTTGAAAAGCCAAAGCTAGAGGTATACAAAGTGCCACCCCCAGAAAATCTTTTAAAATGCATTTCCATTAAGGAAACATGCAGCAGACTGTAGCTATAGGAATTCCTGTTTTAGACAAATTAGCAAAACAGAAATATGAAATAACTCTTCATCTTGCTCATCAAAATGATCGTAAGCCTAATTTTCTTTCCACAATCGGTTATCAGTTTGAACAAAGGGCATTAATCTTCTTGCACTTGTATTGAAATAGTTTTTCGTTGTTTTCTGTACTTTTTTTAACTTGTTTTATTTATGTACTTGGCTGGTGCACACTGGGATCTTGTGTACATTTATTTACTGCAAATGGCAAATTAAAAGAATCTAAATGTCATGCCATATACAAAAATATTGATTCTGGAATATGCTGCATTATAGTTACAGATGCTCTAACTGTGTACTGTCTACGTTTGTCATTTGTTACCTACTGCACACTACAGACAGAGTGCATAAAGCCAACATGCAACCAATTCTAAGCAGGAAAAAATCCATCCTAGGAAAGAAACAAAAACATAACCAGCTTATTACTCACAGTCAGGACAGCAGCCATTGAAAGACATCCTGCAAATGCCACAGTTTTCGTCGTTCGCCACCCACAACCACGAAGCTACGCCATTCCACTGTCGGATTTTCACTTTCATGTCAGTGTTTTATTCAGATCTACCCTGCGAATATGCACAAGCCTCAGATCCACGACTTTACACAAACTAGCATGTTTTAGCTAGCAGCCCAAAGCTAACCCCGCTGCTGTTTCTGTTACCTACCTCGCCGTGGGACCGTATCTAAAGTCACTGAAATACAAAGCTAATTTACTCCAAACTAGGAGTCAAAATCCACAATGAGATAATTTTAAATGTTTATGCATGGTGGGAAGTTTCTTGTTTGAGGAAAATGATCAATGAGTATTTTTTAAAGTACTGCCTCCTACAGGAATCCAAACGACAGCTCCAAACAATGGTCCCATCCAAATACTGAAAAATAACTTCCTTTCTTATTTTTTCTTCTACTAAATTTGGATCTAAATGACATATAAACACCTGTAAAATGTGTTGCCTTTTTAGATCAAACCTAAAGCTATCCTGTCTCATAAAGGGTACATTTTAAATTACAAGGATGGATAAAAAAGGAGGCGTTTTTTCGGAATTTGAATGAAGCCATTGAGGTTGAATTTTTCCACAAAAACAATACTCAAATATACTTAAGTCATGAATGTCTAAACTATAGCCTGAAACTTTATTTCGATGTGCAACTACACAACGACCACGGGATGACACGTTTACATATACACGTGTGTGATTCTTGTTATCTTTTTAAGCTTTATGACGAATATGATTTTTTTTAAATATACACGATTAGGTGTAATTGTAAATACGCTCTTAGTTTACTTAAATACAATAATAATAAATTATTTCCCGGCAAAAAAGTGGCGCGGTCACGTGGCCTCCAGACACTTCCGCAAACTTCCTACGTCACTTCCGTGTCTTTCAACACCGCGCCACCATCGCTCATAAAGGATTTGTGTCGAACGCTCAACTTCATTGTTCAACTTTGTGTCATCGTGAAACCTTCTCGTCACGATGTCCGACAAAATAAACATGTCCTTGGACGACATCATCAAGCTAAACAAGAAGGGAGGCTCTGGAGGCCGCGGTCCGTCCAAAGTTCCCCGGGGAAGTTCAGGGCGAACCGGCGCCAGACCCAACAACAGCTTCAGGCGGAACAACTACGCGAACAACAGGCCCGCGCCTTACACACGGGTGAGTTTACTCTATCATTAACTTACTAGTATTTATCTGACTTATAAATCAAAAGTGTCTTTTGTGTGATCTAAATAAGTTGATGTGGTCGAACATCACAGAAGCTGCTAACATTACGTCATATGTTTAGATGTGCGGTGTTATAGTTAACCATCACAATTTTTTAAAAATGGAAAACAGTCTAGTTTGGCAATAAAACATGTGAAAATGAAACGAGGGTAGTAACTAAACCAAAATGGCGGCCTGTTGTATAAGGCCTTCATTGTGGTTCATCCGTGTGGCTTGTTTATCAGCAGATCCACCATCTGTGTAACATCACCGTTTACCTGAATGATTGTTCCATTTTTTTAGTAACCTTTTATATATGCTAACCAATTTATAAACTTATGTTATTTGGATCAATTTGTGGACAGTCGCTATTTCAATATGGTTTGTTGTTGGCACAGCTTTCATTGAGTATCTTTGTTTTGCTCACATTCAGGGTGAAATGCGTGTGAATACAGTCCATTGATCACTGTGCAAATGCTAATGTAATGTATTGTCTTTCACAGCCAAGAGAACTCCCCGACAAATGGCAGCACGACAAATTTGAAGAAAGTTTCGGTGGCTCGAGGAGACAAGTCTCTCAAGTCTCTGCTGGCAGATCTGTAGAGGCTGGTTGTAAACTGCTCATTTCCAATCTAGATTTTGGCGTTTCTGAATCCGATATCCAGGTAATGTTATTGTTTGTCTGGCATTGTTTGTTGATCCCATTGTACACGCTCACATTTGAATATCATCTTACAGGAGCTGTTCGCAGACTTTGGGGAACTGAAGAAAACCTCAGTACATTATGACGCATCAGGAAGAAGTAATGGAACAGCAGAGGTCTTGTTTGTGAATAAAGCAGATGCACTTAAAGCAATGAAACAGTACAACGGTGTGCCGCTGGACGGTAAGCACACTTTGGAAATGTATAGAAATATGTTGTTTATATTTGCCATTGTAACTCAATGTTCAATATACTGTTTTAGGCCGACCAATGAAAATCCAGCATGTGGTGGAGGCACAAGAGGAAAGGGCTGCTGCAAGGTAAGATTTGGTACAACAAATAGTTTCATTTGCAAATGGATTGGTCTCTAACAATCTCTTGTGTCTCCAGAGGTTTTGACAGGAGTAGACTTGGTCGGGCCAAGTTTGAGAGGCCTGAGAGGAGGCGAGGAGGAGGAGGAGGAGGCGGCGGTCGCCGGGAAGGTGGTGGTGGCGGCGGCGGTCGCGGAGGACCTCGTGAGAAAAAGCCACAGCTTTCAGCAGAAGAGCTGGACGCCCAGTTGGACGAGTACAATGCTAAGGTGAGGACATGTTTAGAGACAGTGATGGTGGTTGTAGCAACCATTTGGTGCTAATATTTACCTATTTTTCTTTAAGTTTCAGATGGACACCAGCTAAACGCAACCAGGAAAATCTTCTGTATTTACAGTTTTTCTTTTTAAGCATTTTAATTTGAGGGGATTATGTTTTTGTACATACGGTTAAATCTATTATGTGCACCACAAATATTGTATTAATGGTTTCCATTTAGGAATATTTGTACAGCTCTTTGCAATTAATGTGAATAATTTCAGTTGTTATATTGTCACGTTTTAAGGTGTTGTGAAGCAGGGCTGTATGATAAAAAATGAATACCATTGTTACTGGTTATTTTGTGAATCATGTACATTTTAATACTTTATTATTTTTTTTTACATAAAATGTGTTGTATAGAAACTTCTTGTGTCTGCTCGTTTTATTAATCGCATACATTGACACTTGTCCTATTGCCTAGTGTTCAAGCATTATGTGCCCACATAATTCTGCACATGCTGAAGGAGACCGACCTGTAGAAGACTTGATAGTATAAACATCAGAGGGCTAGTGTTCTTCCATAGTTACGTGATGACGCACGGTTCTCCCGGAAGCCCGTGTCTCGCCTTGACCATTGGGTGGCGCTGTTCTGTTCGCCGTGAGGGAGAGGGCCACAGACGGCAGAGGCTGTAGAGGGCTGTGAGGGTCTTTCCACTGGTGGAGCCGAGTTTCAGTGCGAGGAGCGGCTCACGCACGTACTGCATCAGCAGCGCAGAGATCAGACTGAGGTAGGTCCTTTATCCGCACATCTGGGAGTGCTGTCTCCAGACTCAGGATTATCATCTCTGGATGATGGGGAACTTGCTAATGTTAGCCGCTGGAACGGGTTAGCCTGCAAAAAACATAAAAATAAACATTTTGGCTCCGTCAGTCCCACCCTGCAGCAGTCTCTCTAGGTATAAAGTTAAATGCTGCCATAAAAACGTCTTTCTTCTGCACGGATTTAACTTGACATTAAAGGGGGTTCTGGCTGCGGACTTTTCAGTCTACTACTTGGAGCCGGTTCTCTTTTAAAATGCAAATTTGGGTTCCTTTGTTGCGGTGGCGTCGCCCTGATACATCCCCTTTGGGGAATCCTATCAATTTGTCATTTTGCTCAAAGCCATAACGCAAAGATGACAACTGTGGCCACATTCTCAGTTTTCTAGAATAGTCGGTGCTGCCTGGAAGTGATGGGCTATAAAATACTTTCGCCTTTTCCTATCAGATGACCTAACCCACCCTCCCGACGATCTGCTGACAGCATCACCCTCTTCTTAGTCATCCTCTGATAGTGGAACAAAGGTAAACCCCCACGAAACATGTGTGTGACTTTCTCTTTTTATTCTGGGGCCTGTGTGTGGAACAGTTTCGCCCTTGCATTTGGGTGGGGTGCTCGTCTAGACAAGTGCAGGGTCATGTGTTCAAGATACTGGACAATCGCGCAAGCCCCACTATCATTTCATCTGATCTGGTCTTGTTCTGGTTTGGCTTTGGGATAAAACTGAGACAAATGTCGTATGGGTGACACCTGTCCAAATAAGTCAAGCTCTCCGGGATCAGAAGAATGTTATTTCATCCGGTTTTAGTACAGATCTATTGTCTTCGGACAGGAAATAAGGAGGAAAGTTCTAATTTGTCCTCCCAAAAGCCTAATATCTGGTTTATGTAGTCAGCAGTTACATAATGGTACCATAGACTGAATGGTACATGTTTGCAGCCTCCCCTTTTCTAGCAATAACTGCAATCTAATGCAAAGTTATGCTCATTATTGGACTATATATTCAGAAAAACAAGACATTTTTTAATATGTTTTGTATTTGTGTGTCATATGGTGTATGTTCTAACCAAAATTCAATAATAGATTATGCTCACTCCACAGTATAGAAGTGAGCATATTGGTGGATGCTTAAAAGAACATTGCACTGGTTTCTTTGCTCTTGCTTGGACTTGCTTTGAGACTACACATTGTCTGAATGCATTCTTGTGACGCTTCCCAGTCCGGGCAGCTCTAATCCACAGAACACGAGTTGTTTATATGAATTCATAGCTTATTAAATTTGATATTGTCCACATATTACATAGATTTTTTGTGTCCACTCCTCTTGAATTCTATCCGTTTGCATATTGCAGAATCAGATTTTTTGTATTGGCCATTTGCAGTAAAAAACAAATTGGAATACATCTACAGAAGTCCCCAGTGTGCACCAGACAAGTACGTGAATAAAACAAGGTAAAACTAAGGATTAGTATATTGTGCATGTATTCCGCCTATGGTTAATGAGCAAAACTAATACAATGAAAATTAAACTATACAAAGCCCAGTCCATAAATAAAAACAATCTTCTCTCCTCCTTTCTTTATTGCTGGTGTTAAAGGGTACTCTCTCTCTCTGTAACATGTGAGGCTCGTAAAGCGCATACCTCTGCATATGAGTTCACATGTGCATGCAACACGTCGATAGGTTCACACAATGACAGAATTACCAAAAAGGAAGATTTAATACCACTTTAGTTCTGGGTGATTTTTTTGGCGTCAGTGCAATGAGATTTTAAAGTTATGTAACGTAATTCAAACCACACATTTCTCCATAGTTTTAAAGGGTACATAATCAATAACATAATCAATTGACTTTTATAGATTCGAGATACACTGCTTTTAGAGCTATTTTTGCTTGTTCGAGTCGTTTAGAGATTATTGGTCTTCGATGTATTTCTGCTGACATCACAAAAAGGGGCAGGGTGAGTCGGCTAAAGTAGACACAGTGTAAATACAGTGTTTGTGGCTGTCGACTAAACAAAATCCCGATCAACTACTAATCGACTTAAAATGGGGCGTGGCGAATGCTTTAAATATTGTGATGCACCTGACCCACACTGTACTCATAAAACTATACTTATCAACTATATAGAAGACAACTAACCAAAATAAATGGTTGATTGGCCTGAATATTAAAGTATCTTCATCTATTTGAACCACAAACCTTAATATTTTTGCGTGTACTAGAGATTTATCTACAGATGTATAGAGATAAAGTATATATTTCTTGCAACAGAGTATACAGTATTTTTATGTTGCTTTTTTATTAAGCTAAAGATAAAGATTTTGTTGTAGGAAACAGTGCTAGACAGATCTGCATGAAAGAAAAAATAAAAAGGAACATTACAGGAAAGTGCAGTAGTGCTTTGAAGTCTGTGTTTGGTCAGTCAATTCAGCATCAAAATGAATAGTAGATGATGGATGTGGATATAGTATGATCTCCATATCCTTTTTTTTCTGTTTTCAGTTTGCACTATATCTACTTCATCGATTTATTCTCCCCATATCCTGCTAATTTACATTGCTCCTAGACTAGAGTGTACTTACATGCCTATACGTGCCAAAGACATTTTTAAGAAGCATTTACAGTTTTGTAATCTGGGGACTACAAATGTAAATTTGTGTTACATGGTCCCTTTTTAAATTGATTGAATTAATGAATTAGATTATTATATTTTGTGTGCTCCTTCAATAATAGATTATGCTCACTCCACAGTATAGAAGTGAGCATATAGGTGGATTGCACTAGTTTCTTTACTCTTGTATTGGCACTGCAACCCAGAAATGTATGGAAGACCAAAAATGACTAAAGTATAAATAAATAAATAAATAAATACAGGAATATATTAATAAATACATTCATTTTGGACAATAAAAACTAAATATTTACATTGATGTGTTAAATATTACTATGAAATCAAATAAATATACTTTTATTTAGGTTATTTATCAATATCTACATTTTTTCCTTTATTAATTTATCCATTTATTGCATATATTTATTTATGTATTTCTACATTTCTTCATTTATTTATTTATGTATTTCTGTGTCGCTACATTTCTTCATTTATCTATTTATGTATTTCTACATTTCTTCATTTATTTATTTATGTATTTCTACATTTCTTCATTTATTTATTTATGTATTTCTGTGTTGCCGTATGCTAATTAGGCGGGCGGTGCTGAACTCAATCAATAGCAGGATTGGTGGGCAGTAGGTCAGCCAGGGCAACCAGACAGAAGCAAAGTTAGCCTTCTCGGTTTGTGAGAGGATGTGAAGCTGCTGCTTGTTGAAGAGCGTCCAGCACAGTTGCATCAAAGTCTACCTCTGGGTCAGCAATGTGATGAACTAAAACATTTAATAGTCTTTCCAGCCGAAAGAGTAGATAGTCCTCAGGTGCATTATGCTCAACATCATTAACATAATTTGCTAATGCTCTTAATTGATGAGCAATGGCTCCTAAAAAACTTACATTCGAAACTGCCATCATACCACACAAAAGTGCACAGAGGATCTCTAGCTAGCTAACAGAGTACCGTAATGTGAGGCAGTAAATGATCGAGACCAGAGTTCACGCAATCCTAACCAATCCTGTTCTACATTGAGTTCAGCACCGCCCACCTAATTAGCATACAGGAACACAAAAATACATAAATAAATAAATGAAGAAATGTAGAAATACACAAATAAATAAATGAAGAAATGTAGCGACACAGAAATACATAAATAAATAAATGAAGAAATGTAGAAATACACAAATAAATAAATGAAGAAATGTAGCGACACAGAAATACATAAATAAATAAATGAAGAAATGTAGAAATACATAAATAGATAAATGAAGAAATGTAGAAATACATAAATAAATATATGCAATAAATGGATAAATAAATAAAGAAAAAAATGTAGATATTGATAAATAACCTAAATAAAACTATTTATTTGATTTCAGAGTAATATTTAGCATATCAATGTAAATATTTAGTTTTTATTGTCCAAAATGAATGTATTTATTAATATATTCCTGTATTTATTTATTTATTTATACTTTAGTCATTTTTGGTCCTCCATAGAAATGTCCCCACTGTGGGGCAAATAAAGGTTCTCTTATCTTAAATATCTCAATAACTTCACTCAAATAATCAATGAATTCAGCTTGTGACACTTCAAATTATGATTATTATATTAAATTATTTACATTAGTGGGTCACAAGTCGATTTCTTTACAATTTCAGAGGTTTCCGGGCCTGACATTTTTGGCTACCCCTGAGGCTAAGGAACCAATGAATTGACTAAATTATTCAAAATGAATTAAGGAGAGCCAGTTTCTTTCTTGAATGAGTTTATGACATATGCCCATTACAATAGACCATGATTAGACCTATTTATACCAACATAATAGTCAGAGATGTAGATAATCGTCCATAAAAGATGACACACACTTGTTGGCCATGTTCCTGAGAGCCGCGGTCAGAGCCTGTAGTGCTGCTGTGGTCTTTAATGTAAACTAGAGTCTGACTAATGACTCTGTGTTTGACAGAGTGAGGCTGAAGCAGATACAATACGTTTAATGGAGGAGGACCTGACCTTTCTTTTAGTCCTAGATTACAACGTTTTAAATTATTTTGACCTTTTTATAATATTTTAGTTACTCATTATGTACCTGTGACTGTGTGAATGAGAGCAGCCGGCACCACTGTCATTTCATTCAGGATCAATAAAGTTTATCTTATCTTAGATCTAATATTGCGGCCTATTGGTTTAATGTTGAATGTGTATTTAAGACTTCAGTGACTGTTGTAGTTTTGTTTGGAGTCACAATGGGCCTCATTCACGAATAACTTCGTAAGAAACTACTCAACTTTCTTCTCAAGTTGTCCTTAAGTAGATTTCTAAGAAGTCCCCACGTGGGATTCATCAACGCACTCGTAAGCCGCTGAATTGTTCGCAGCTGTTCTCTCAGATTGATGAATCCCATTTCCTCGTAAGTACAGCGCGCGTGCCAGGTGCTTCATTAGCATAGGTACTTAGCATAAGTAACCACCCACTAATGCCCATATAAGGGACTGCAGGGCCGTGTGCAGGCGGCAGAGGAAACAGCAACAGGCCTAAAGCAAAGAGTTACACGGAGCAAAAGAGTCACCCTTTTTTCTTCTTTTACCAGACTGAGAATAAAGTTATAAAATGTTGACTTAAAAGTCGAAATATGATGATAATAAAGTCCATCCATTTCCATCCATTTTCTACCCTTTAATCCATTTCTGGGTCAGGGGGGTGGCAGTCAGAGATGCCACCCAAGTCTCATAGCACCAGCCCCTCACTGACCCTCTGCAGGTGGTGAGTCCACAGGAGGACGGCTGCTCTCTGAGTGTGAGCATAGCCTTGATCTTTCAGTGGGGGCTTTGGGCAAAGTGGGGTTAAGTGTCTTGCCCAAGGACACAACGACAGCAGTCATCAGTGGGAGT